ATTTGCGACTTAGGATGGAAAAAAAAGGTTCGTACTAATAAACTTCGCAAGCTGGCTAGTGTAATTACATTTAAGCGAAAAAAGCATAAGTATCCAAAGTAGCAAAAAAATCCGTGTTTTAAGCTACTTGAATGGCAATCAAAATGTTCAAGACAATTTTCTGCTCGAAACTAATTGCCAATTGAAACGTTCAAGACCATTTTTTGCTCGATTTCTGCATGATTTTAGACTTAGCTGGACTCTCCTGATAATTTTTAATATCTGAAAAAAAACGTATTTTCCGAGCAAAAAAGTCTCATATTCCGACATCTATCTTTCGACTCCCGCGCAATCAGTACTGCGAAGTATGTCTTCTCAAGTATGTACTGCAAAATTCAACTTATTGTTCAACAGATGTCTAAATATTTTCTGATGAAAAAACTATACAAAGAAGTACAAAAAAGAATGTTGTTATTCAATTATTTACACTAAAACACACTAAAGAAAATAAACTTCAATTTACTTCTCAACCGAGAGAAAGATATGATTTAGGGGAAAGATGAGTTCTAATCTAAATGTTTTCTGCCGATTTCACTTTCGGATTTTATTTTCCTCCGAAAAATGAGGCATACTTGAGAATAGTTCCCGTTGACACTTTCAAATAGCAATCAGAGTTGAAGAACATGACTTCATTTACTTTAGCTTTGATGTCGAATTGTTTCTGCATTCTAGGTCCAGTAGCGTTCATATTATCGTCAAGTTTAACCCATTCGAATGAACAAGTATCCAAACAACACACAACGGCAACTAAGCCATCCGAAGTCTTTTCAATAGCTGCCAAATCAATTTTCGCTAGTTGAAATGGTGGAGGGAAACTTGACTTGACCTTCTGAGACTTCCTGTTGATATGACCACAAATGATGCTGTTTTGTTTTTCGATGACACAGAAGAAGAATTGAGAGTCAGAAATGGATGTATTGATGAAGGGTTTCTGTATATATAGTGGTCGTTTTAAAAGATTCTTCAGCACCTCGAACAGACACAATTCTGTGTAAACTCTTGTTTTTTCATCATTTTTTGCAAAAGTCAGAATGTTATCTCCCAAATTATCTGTGTTTATTTTTCGCAAAAGGTTCGGGCTTGCTACAGCAGTAAATAAATTCTTATCACGTCTAATGAAAATTTCATCGAAGCCTGAAAAGACCTGGAAACAATCTTCAAATGCCGGTATTCGTACCGGGGGTATTTCTTCAGAATTTATGCCGTACATATCTAAGATGGCGCCGCTTCCCCTGTTCGTAAAAGAAGCGACACAAAACAAGTTCCTTGACTTTGCCATGCAGACCTGAGCATTGTTCATTTCTCGGTAGACCATAGGCTGTCTGTATAAATTCAAAGTTTTTTTAGTCAACCCTTCTAAATTGCTCAAATACTCATCCAAGACCCCTTTGATTTTATGTTTTAAAACATTTTCCTCGCATACCAATTCCTTTTGCAGCTTAACCAGATCAGAAAAAATCTTAGGCATAGTATCTTCTCCGTTTTCTCGAACTTTTCCAATAAGATCAGTCGACTTTTGCACCAAAACCTTTTCAACCAAAGTTGCATCTGAATCGCCTAATAAGGTCCTTAGCTCTGTTTGCTCAGACTCCAAATTTTTCATTTGTGAGTTCAAAGTTTCGCTCGACTCTACCAAAACTTTCGATAACTTTTCAAGCGACCCAGATTGATTTTCGGAACTGATGACACAGTTTTTTACTATTTCGCTGATAGTTTTTTGCAAAATCAAAGAAAGTACATCGGGTTCATAAGATACTCGAAACTCGTCAAACTTCGAGCATTGTTGCTTAACTTTATCCGAAGCCAGGGAAACTGGTTTATAGCACTCGTCTAATTTTCCCAACTCTAGGTGCACAGACTGTTTAACCTCCAATGCTTTTTCTTCCAAAGAAACAATTTCATGTTTTTGGCTCAAATGTTCTTTGATACATCTGTTACATAGGGTTTCGCAACATTCAACGCAGAAATTTTCAAATGGCAGTTTATGTTTTTCACAAACGATCGCAAAGTTGCCTTTGTTGTCCGTTACTATATGATTTTTCCTTGTATGAGGAATGATGCAGAAGTTGCAAAACACAACTACACAATTTGTCGCTCCATGATTTTCGCTTTCATCCGGACACGTCAAGCACCTGAATTGCAAATTTGGTTCTTCTATTTCAGTTTCACAACTTTTACAGACATTGTGCATGAAAGTATCAACATCGCTATTCATATTGGTCATGCCATCTCTGAAATTTTTGTCAACAATTAGGATTCACTCAAACGTGTCTCAATTTTCACAATATCGTTTAATTCCTCAAACAATCAAAACAATTTAAATAAGTTTTGCTATGAAAATTGAATGAAAATACCAAGTTTCAAGTACAATCTCAAAAAAATTCCGAGAAAAAAGATCCCACATTCCAGCATCTAGCTTTCGACACTCGCGCAATTAGTACTGTAAAGTATGTCTTAAAAAGTATGTACTGCAAATTGTAATTCGTTCTTTTTCAGCTTTTTTTTGGAAACTTTATTATTATTTATTATTACTGGTTATATTGTAAGGGATTGAAAACAATGAAGACCAAACAGAGTTTGACTCTTGTGAAATGATTTCACATAATTATCTCAATAAATATATTTTCCGTTTTTTTTCTAATTGTATTTAAATTTGTCATCAATCTGTGTTCGAGTAGACTCTCGATTACCTTCAGTATATCCACTCCATTTTGGTATTTTGTACAACAATTAATTCGAGTTGCGTAAAAAATGTTTAAAATAACTGTTGTATCTGAATTATGCTATTATTGAGAAATAAATGCTTTCTTTCTTTAATTTATTGATCAACAGAGGGAAAGATATGTCTTATAACTATTCTCTGATGCAAAAAAGAATGGAGAAATAAATTCTTTCTTTCTTTGTTAAATTTAGTGTTCAACAGAGGGAAAGATATGTCTTATAACTACTTTCTGATGCAAAAACCATACAAGGAACTACAAAAAAAGGAAATTTGCTAGTCAATTATTCACACTAAAACACTCGAAAGAAAATAAATTTTAATTTACTTCTCAACCGATAAAGATATGATTTAGGGGAAAGATGAGTTCTAATCTAAATGTTTTCTGCCAATTTCAGTTTCGGATTTTATTTTCCTCCGAAAAATGAGGCATACTTGAGAATAGTTCCCGTTGACACTTTCAAATAGCAATCAGAGTTGAAGAACATGACTTCATTTACTTTAGCTTTGATGTCGAATTGTTTCTGCATTCTAGGTCCAGTAGCGTTCATATTATCGTCAAGTTTAACCCATTCGAATGAACAAGTATCCAAACAACACACAACGGCAACTAAGCCATCCGAAGTCTTTTCAATAGCTGCCAAATCAATTTTCGCTAGTTGAAATGGTGGAAGGGAACTTGACTTGACCTTCCGAGACTTCCTGATGATATGACCACAAATGATGCTGTTTTGTTTTTCGATTACACAGAAGAAGAATTGAGAGTCAGAAATGGTTGTATTGATGAAGGGTTTCTTAATATATAATGGTCGTTTTAAAAGATTCTTCAGCACCTCGCACAGCCACGATTCTGTGTAAACTAGTGTTGTTTCATCATGTTTTGCAAAAGTCAGAAAATTATCTTCCGAATTATCTGTGTTTATTTCTCTCAAATGGCTCGGGCTTGCTACAGCAGTAAATAAATCCTTATCACTTCTTATGAAAATTTCATCGAAACCTGAAAAGACCTGGAAACAATCTTCAAATGCCGGTATTCGTACCTGGGATATTTCTTCAGAATTTATGTCGTACATATCTAAAAAGGCACCGACTCCCCTGTTCGTAGAAGAAGCGACACAAAACAAGTTCCTTGACTTTGCCATGCAGACCTGAGCATTGTTCATTTCTCGGTAGACCATAGGCTGCCTGTATAAATTCAAAGTTTTTTTAGTCAACCCTTCTAAATTGCTCAAATACTCATCCAAGACGCCTTTGATTTTATGTTTTAAAACATTTTCCTCGCATACCAATTCCTTCTGCAGCTTAGCAAGATCAGAATAAATCATAGGCATAGTATCTTCTCCGTTTTCGCGAACTTTTCCAATTAGATCAGTCGACTTTTGCACCAAAACCTTTTCAACTAAAGTTGCATCTGAATCGCTTAATAAGGTCCTTAGCTCTGTTTGCTCAGACTCCAAATTTTTCATTTGTGAGTTCAAAGTTTCGCTCGACTCTACCAAAACTTTCGATAACTTTTCAAGCGACCCAGATTGATTTTCGGAACTGATGACACAGTTTTTTTACTATTTCGCTGATAGTTTTTTTGCAAATTTAAAGAAAGTGCATCGGGTTCATAAGATACTCGAAACTCGTCAAATTTCGAACATTGTTGCTTAACTTTATCCGAAGCCAGGGAAACTGGTTTATAGCAATCGTCTAATTTTCCCAACTCTTGGTGCACAGACTGTTTAACCTCCAATGCTTTTTCTTCCAACGACACAATTTCATGTTTTTGGCTCAAATGTTCTTTGATACATCTGTTACATAGGGTTTCGCAACATTCAACGCAGAAATTTTCAAATGGCAGTTTATGTTTTTCACAAACGATCGCAAAGTTGCCTTTGTTGTCCGTTACTATATGATTTTTCCTTGTATGAGGAATGATGCAGAAGTTGCAAAACACAACTGCACAATTTGTCGCTCCGTGATTTTCGCTTTCATCCGGACACGTCAAGCACCTGAATTGCAAATTTGGTTCTTCTATTTCAGTTTTACAACTTTTACAGAAATTGTGCATGAAAGTATCAACATCGCTATTCATATTGTTCATGCCATCTCTGAAATATTTGTCAACAATTAGAATTCACTCAAACTTGTCTCAATTTTGAAAATATCGTTTAATTTCTCAAACAATCAAAACAATTTAAATAAGTTCTGCTATGAAAATTGAATGAAAATACCAAATTAAAAAAAAAGAAATAAGTTAAATATGATCAAATTAAATTAATCACACCTCTGACTCAATATAGAAAATATAAAACATAGCCAACAGACAGTTGGAAAAGTGTAAATGGCTGCAAGAAAACACATACAAATCTGACTAATTAAAAAAATCTTTTAAATTCGAACTTCAAAGAAAAAATATGTTCCCGTAAAGCTCTTTGAATTTCAAACAATTTATGATCGACATATTTTTGATGAAATCAATCTATTTCGAGAAAACTCCGCTTATTCCTCTAATTGAAATCCACTTGAAAACTAGAAGTCAATCACGTTTTTCTTAACCTTTACACATTTGCAGCTCGATAGCCGAGTTTGCCTTTTTTTTAACAAAAGAAATGAGCTGAACTTCGAAAATGAGTGTGATCAAATTTTAAAATTTTTCCTGAAAAAAAGAAGACAAAAAATTTAGATCTATTTAGGTGTCTAAACTACGTTCATTGACCTTTGAAAATTAGTAATAATACCAGTTTCAGTTTTGTACAAAATTAGGCGCGCTTCAATTATTAAATTTCAATGAAACGTCAAAGGATCCACACGAGTATCTTCAACATCATTTTCAATATGACACTCATCACACAATTTCGTCTCATTACATCTTATTCGACGAGTAAAGGTCCACTGTTTTATTCCTACTATCTGTCGCTGAAGTTACCTAAAAACATTACTCTGCTGAAGTTACATTAATCTGAAGTTCCTCTGCACTACATGATTGTCAGCACCACCCCCCCCCCCCCCCCCAGGGCGCAACACAAACACACTTCTTCATAGACCCTCAACCCCCTAAAATATCCAACCATCGAAAACAAATTTTAGGGAGTCTAAAGACTCCACAGAAATTTTTTTACAATTAAACTTCTACCAAAATTTGAGAAAAACATACCGTTTTTCAGAGCTCCGAATAAAAAAATGTATTTTAGCGCAAAAATTATCAGAATTGATCCAAAGTTAAGTGACACCACTGATAATTTTCAATCCCTCCACAATGAAAACCTCTTTCTGGTTGAAAGTTTTCAAACCTCGGTAAGTTGCAATCGCAAATTAGAAAATGCAATAGCACTTTATAAAATTCAAAACAATAAATATCAAACTAAAATGACCTCATCCATGAGTAATCAAAAACAAACTACAGTTCGAAACTTCATCAAACTGTTCTACACGAGTCATAGAAATGAACCTGTCCAAATTCCAAACTATGGAACACCAACAGCAATAATAGTTTGATAATGCATGCAATCAGATGCTTTATTAACTTTTTCAATGTGAATTAAATTCTGCAGTTTATGAAAAACAAACCATTTTTCAATATAACTAGCTGATTCGTATTAAAAACTTTTAAAAAAAACTTATTTGAAAACATTACTCCCACATTTGCGGTTTATAAAAACAATGAGAGCAAAAAACCAACCTCAATTGAACCTTCTTCGCTCAGTGGTTCGACTTCACTTTGTTCCGTTAGATTTCGATTAAACCCTGGTACATTATACGCCTGATTCAGAGCATCCCCACCATTTGAATTAGCATCTTCTTCAGATGTATTTGAGAAACTACTTGACGTTTGGGAGCCATAGTTACTCGTGTCTCCCGAATCACTACCACTATTCTCTTTGTACGCCCTGTTGTTATCGCTATCGCGTCTTCCGATTTCTGATGGACCACTTGAATTCCCAGTTGTTGAGTCCTGGTACATAGGAGCTCCGTCCCTGTCAGTCTGGGCGGAAGAGAGATCTTGACCAATGGCCGAATCTGTAGAGCTGACTGAATCAAGCAGTGGTTTGTTTTCAAGGGTCTAAAATTAAAACAACAACAATCGGTTAATGCCAAAAACGCACAAAATGTTCCGACTAAAAAAACTGAAGTTGAGAAATTTCAAGACAAACTATTGCAGACAATCGGAGAAGAAAGTTTTTTTTCAGCCAAATTTTTTGTCGTTTTTAGTTGTAGAAATGAGGCTGCAGAAATGAGAAATACTGCTTATGATTTTATGCAAAAACTGCAGAAGAGCTAAATTCAGAGTTCGTTCTTTAGTCTTATTATTCGTAAATTTTGCGTCAATTTGTCTGAAAAATGGAAAAATTCCGACCAGTTATTCTCAAAAATGAGACAATTTTGATCTTTTTTGAAACCCTTATCACGTCTGATATGTGTTTAACATAATACTACGTTTGACTTTGATCTTCATGAGAACTTCTTTCAGTTAGACAAAACGCGTTGTAAAAAGCGCAATTTACTTAAAGTTGTCGGAACAAAAAACAAACCGTGAGCGAGAAAAACTGGAAAAAAAAACATTCACCAAAAATGATTCCTTTACAGAAAAAAAACATATCACCTTTACAGGGCTGTCATATTGTTAACTAAAACGTTTTTAACATGTTAATTATATGAAAAAAAAAACACTTTAAAAACAAAATTGAGTTTCAAAATCACTCAGTGAGTTGTTTAAAGAGAAAAACCAGCTTTCCAGCCTTCTGGGCGCCCAAATGACTTCGAAGTTTTCCATAGGTGACTCCGAGAATTGAGGAACACCATTCTAATCTAGCTCTGGAGGAAATAGTAGAGGCCTAGTCGACCCATTTTTCCGATGAAATATGAAAAAACGACTGCATTTGAATTGAAAGCTCGAATTACTAAAAACATTGTGTTAATAACATGTTAAATATAGGTCTGTTAATAACACCTTGTTATTAACATGACAACCATTCGCCTTTAGGCTCGTTGAATTTCGAGAATTTTTTATGATCGCTATTTTCTTGATAAAAATAACCTATTTCAAAAAGAAAACGCTGGGAAAAAATAAAATCTATTTTTGATACAAATTCAGTCAGGTTTTTCTGCCCCATCTTCTTTTCGTTCATTGGCATTTAGAAACATTTGATATTAATTGTTTTACCTGACGTTGTGGAATATCTGGAGATATGGAATCGTAATCATAACAGTATACACCTTCGTAGTTCAATTGCGCGTAATGGTTGTCTTGCTTATCTCCAATTGAAATTTCTTCATCGTCCGTAGGAATTTTTTGTGTCGATGACTGCTGATCAAGATGGCTGCCATTGGATAGTCTTCGGTAGCGAAAGAAGGCGAAAGAAATCACCACTAAGATTAACGCTATAACTAGCACTATAACTAGCACAGCAACTGTAGTCCCTAGAACATGAAATACACACATTTTTTCGCCTGCTATGTTAGCTCAAAATATTGTGCTCATCAAATTAACTTGGCTACAACAACCTAGATAATGCAAAGACAATTAATGTTTTCTTAATGCAAGCGAAGAGTTATGAATTCAAATTTCTCACCCAGAACGACAAAATACTAACATGATATAAGTGACCCTTCTTGCAGATCAAACTTCTCGCAGCTTCGGTTGTAGCCGAACGTTCCCGGGTACTTGGCAGCAAGGGCAACACACACTTCAAAGGAATCACGAGCCGGCAGTTTGGTGTGAGTATCGTTAATCATTATATCGGGGCTGCTCGACCCCAAATCTTTAATCTGGCACTAAAAAGATTTGATATTTGCAGCTGTATTTAAACCATCGTTTTTTGCAGGAATCTAGCTTCTCTCCATTTCGAGGCTCGTTTTGTTCGAATTATCAAATTAGAAGACAAAAAATAGAATAACTTGCTTCTTATGATCGAAGATGCATCTCAGTTTTTTCCGTTAAGCAAAAATTTATAAAACTTCCAATTCGCAAGAAAAGATTTTTTTGTTGTTGTTGTTTTGTTGGTTCTCATTTGCAAAAAGGTGAATTCTTTATGGCTGATTTTCGAAACTAGTTTAAGAATTAACTCAATAAAAAACCAGTTCTATTGGCTAAAATATAAGTGAAGCTTACTGGCACTTCGCACTATAAAAGTGCCTAATCATCCCCGATTTCACAGGAAGTAGTTTTATTATGCTAAGTAATGAATTGTGCGATAAACTTTCATTTACATTTTAACTTAAAGATCTGTTTTCTTTTTTGGGTTATTTCTTAAATTAGTGTTAGCAATCAGCTATAAAGAACACACAGTCTCACTTCTTTAGATTTAAAAAAGCTTCAAAACATTGCAGACACATTACTTAATTGGTGAAATAATACCAACGTGGTTTGAATGTTGTGATGATATGATGCAGTAGCATAGTTGCCAATTGGGATTGTAATGAACTGGAAGGTTGTCATAAGCCTTCACTGTAATGACCAGGTTGTTGTCGACTACTGATATTTGCGAATCTTTCATCAGGTATTGAACTGAAACAACATAACTGCTCTCTCAATCCCAATACACATCAAACTTAAGCAGACAATTGACACAGAGGCAAAGCTGCCGCGTCCAGACAACTCGGCCATAGACAATTCAGCCGAATCTATACACATTTCAAGCACAGACGATTCGGCCAATATGAATTCTAGGGCCGAATAATGACAAATTACAACAAAAATTAGAACTTATTTTTTAAATATTTAATAGTAACCGGTGCAGTCGCGCCGTGTTGCAAGCTTGCATGCAGACGGTAGGGGTCTATTCAAAATTCCGGACCAGTTATTGCCGCGAAGCGACGACGCGCGTCCACCGGCGACGTTAAACCAAGAAAAAACTCCAATTACGATTTTTTTTTTTCGAATCTAGCATGTTCAAAAACTGACTGATTTGTCAGCGACTCAATTGTCTGCATCTTTTTGCTGAATTGTCTTTGACAGAATTGTCTTTGAGTAGCAAAGCGGAGCTGAGCATTATTTGCAATACCGCAGAAAAAATGAACGGCAAGTCAGCAGCCAGAAAATGAAATCAAAGCCACCGAGTCAAAATTTTGTTTAAACGAAAAAAAAACAAGTCACAAAAATAAAGACATTTTGTCTGGAATGATGTTTGTTGACAATAGTACACCCAAAAAGACAATCGCCGATGTTAAAAAGTACCACAACAGGGCATAGCGGAGCTTCGCAATACTTGCGATACAAAAAAAACTGCATTACAAGATGTTGACAGAAAAAAAAGGATATTTTCGAAAATAAGCTGAGAAAAATTATCGAAAAAACTATCAACTAAAATTCCACATCTTTGGCTCAGATGATGTTCACAAACAACCTTAAAAACATTGAAGATCAATGAACGAGCGTTAACTAAGAAGGCGAAAAAAGTTCAGTCGACCCTCATTTCGCCAACTAAACTAGTCATAAAAAGTAGAAAGTTTTTAAAATCAAATTTTTTCGGACCCATCCCGCTCTCGAAAAAGGCGAAAACACTCGGACCCATCCCTCTCGAATAAGCTTGAAACAAAAGTAACAGAACAAGTCAAGCTGGCGATACATAGTTGATATTTTTAGAATATATTTTCATAACCTTTTTGCGATTGAATTCTAAATCTCAAATTTGTCTGGGAGTAAAAAAAATTTGCAAACATTTTTGAATAAAAGGCAAAAACTTCAAAACGTGGGCGTTTTTTAATTCTTACAAAACTTAAGGAGTCGACGTTTCTGCAGGAAAAAATTTTCACAGCCAGTTCATTCGATTTAATCTTTAATCTCATATTTGGTAGGGTAGTTTTTTATTGACTTTTAAGAAGTCTAAGATTCCGAAAAACGATCACGAAAATCATCATGTTTGTTTTTCCAAAATGTTATAGCTTTTTTTCTACAAAAACAAGCGTACCAGTTTATGCAGCAAAGACGCCGAGAGTCTTTTCCTTTTTCGGTTAAACCAATAAGCTGAGAGTTGGCAGGGTAGGTTTCGAGAAAAGACAAAGTTTCCAAAAAGCGGTCAAAAATTCAATAACTTGAATTCTCCGAAGACCATATTTTTATTTCTGAAAACTTTAGGGCGTATCCACTTCTGCGGGGTTTCTCACCATTTTTTTATTGAACCCAAATTTGCGGTATGAGAGAGTAGTTATAAGAAACTGAAATTTCGAAAAACTATCAAAAAAAATCCAAAATTTGACTTTTGTAGGAGCCATAACTTTGTGTGCAAAAAATGGGCGTAGCCGCATATGCAGAGGAATTTCGCACAACATGGTCTTCGCATGAACCCAAAATCTCTCCGAAAAAAAAACTTTCTGAGTATCATAACTTTTCGAAAAACTTGTCGTAGCCGCTTATGCAAGGGAGATTCCCACACCTCGTGCTTTCAATTGAACGGAAAATCTAAAATTTGGGTGGGCAGTTTTCGAGAGTATGAAAAACTCCAAAAAATGGGTGAAAAATTCTAAGCTTGGAAAGAAATTGCTTGAAAAGCTTAACAGATAAAATAAATTTCATTATAAAAAAAAAACGGAATATCAGCCGACAAAAATTGGGACATATCCTAATAAAACAAAAAATTTTCTTAGGATATAATAAAAAAAAATAAGTACTACCTCAGATAAACTAAGAAGTAGTTTTATTTGCATTTTCACCATATTGAGCATATTGGCGAAAATTGATTTTTTATTTTTGAAATCGCTCAACATTTTTTAATGACAACAAGTTCGTATATATTTTTTTTGAGCGTCTACCTACGTATTTTAAATTTAGTGGCAGCTCGGTAATCAATAACAACACAATCACTACTGTGATTGAGATTCTCGACTGCTTTTGTGAAATTAGATTTTTCTAACATTTTTGATACTTCCATTTTTTTTCAGTATTTTTTGAAAGTATTTTTCATTACTGTTGAAGATCTTCAATTTCGCAGCGTTTTGCAGGTCAGTTGGAATTGTTAGCTGTTCCCTTATTATTTCTGGAGCCTGATTTTATGAGTTTTGTTTATATTTACCATTAACAATGATAAATAAGTTTAGATTTTATATAGATTTTATATTACTTTTTGTGGAACTCTTCCCATTTCTTTGAATTGTCCACATGAATATGATAGCTTACTTAATATATCTAATATGAGTGATTGAGAAATGGGGGGTTATAACGGAAAAGCGCCCTCACCGGTAAAAGGCATGTTCGGATTAGCAAAGTTGGCGTAATACAGAGCAGATCGATCTCTGATTCCGAACTCTGTTTCAGTCGTGTAGTTCAGTCGCACTTTCACTGCAGCTCCACTGGCAGGCGTCGAGAATGAAACGCACTGTTGTAGATTCACGATAGATGCTTTGTAATCCACGGGGAAGGACTCCCAGACCACAGGTTTAGCTCCAGCTTGAGAAACTCTAAACATGGAAAAACGAAGGTTTCATTTTGAACATAAAATTAACACAGCAGGAAAATTCACCTCCATAATATATTTTTACGATCGCTTCTTTTCCGGTTAATATGGTCTGACACTCTCAATGATTATAAACGTTTCCGACTAACACGAAGCAAAGATTCGCAATCCCTGGGGAATCCATAAAGCATCCCATCATTGGATTGCTAATGTCAATACTGATGAAACAATCCTTTATATCAAACTGGAAAATCGAAAAAAAAATTCTTAAACATTGCAATGTACGATATAGCTTAAACGTGAAAAAATTCTTTCGTAACAGGCAAAAAAAATACGTTGAAAATACTCAAACATGGCGAGATAGTGAAGCTCGCATTTAAAAATATAATAGATATACTACAAATATGAGTTGAGTTAATCAAGCACACTGTATCGCTCCTTTTGTAGACAAATAGGGTGCGTATCGGACTTCGAGGTGAAACTCGCTCGCTACTCAAAGCCATCCTTAGTGAAGACTTTGATTCAACAATTTGCTGAATGCAATGTGGACGGTGACAATTGTTCGGTCTACACACACTTTGGCCCTTTCAAGTTTAGTGGCTCAATTCTCCCACACACAATTCGCCCCTAATATCTTACACACTAAATTCTGTAAAAATGAGAGGCGAAATGTGCCATCTTCGACTTATTAGGCCAAACGTTGGTCTCGATAGCTTAGATAATTATATTCCTAATTAATTTTCCCTTTTTGCACTTAACTGTTCCGACTTTCAAAAAAAAAGGGCCGAATATCTATGCTTGGTGTGTTTTTTATTGTTCCGACTTTCGAGGAAAACGAAATATTTATGCTCGGAGTGGTTTTTTTATGCAGTCAATTTTCACCAATCGAAATAATAGTTTTCGACGAACAAAATTATACCCCATCTAAGATATCGACTTCCTGAGTTGAAATGTAAAAAGATATTTTACCTACTATTATTTTTTGTAAAGTTCTATTATTTTTTGTAAAGTTTTTTGTAAATTACCCAGTGAGTAAAATTGACACGCGTAAGAAGCAATTTAATGCGTTCCAAATTGAATTGAGTCGAGCAATTTAATCCTATTATCACAAAACGAGGCACTAAACACACCCTTAGTGCGTGGGGATAAAATGAAGAAAAAGCAAAACAAAAAAATCTAGCCATTTTCGACGGAATTTTAAAATATCATTCAAGAGGTATTGTTGTCCTGAGCTTAAATTTGAAAGATATTTCAGCTGTCATTACTTTTCGTAAAGTTATAAGGGTTTAAAGATTGCCATTTTGGCTAATTTGGGACAATTAACTCGCGATATATTTCGCGCTATTAACGCGTCAGCAGATATTTAATCTGTCCTAGAAATCGTTCCAAATTGTTTGAAGGAAGCTTGTTTGTCATAATTGATTTTTTTATTTATTTTATTTCATTTAATTTTTTTGTTTTATTTTTTTTTTGCTCCAGAGACCTTAAAAGGCAGTCGGAACATTCAGGGCTTCGTCCTGATAAGAGCAGTCTTGTTGAAATTATTATGCCATAATTGAAAATAAAACCTGTCACACAGAAGCGAAGAGGAGCTTAGCATAACTTACGATAACGCACAAAAATAGCATTGGAAGATAGCGGAGATATACTGGAACGGCAGCCAACAAGCATTTTTTAAAAACTGAACAAAAAAGTCGAAACTACATTTACAAATTGTCCCGAATGGTGCTCAATTCATGGAAAACATTTCGAAAAACACAATCACCAGCGTTGAAAAAACCTTGAGAAAAAAATTACTAGCGGCAATTCAGCCGACAGTGCTTGGGTAGATGTCAAATTAACCGACAAAAAATCGTTGTCAGGAAAAAAAATTTTTGCAATATAAAGGTTTGAAATTCCCGTGAAAGACAAAATAATAACTTTTTCTTTCAAGCAACGCAAAGTTAGCTGACTGCTCCAAAATAATATATACCAAAACCATTTAATCCAAATTAACCTTTTAAGCGAAAAAATTAGAAAGGAAAAATACAAACACAGGTTTGCTAAAATACAAATTACAGCATTAAGTCAAGATAACTTTATGATTGCTTAAGCCGCAACAAAATTCTGCCTCCACGCTGTGGAAACTAATTAGATTAATAAAACTTTAGTGTATATTCCGATTTGATAACGCTTTCCAACCGGTTGTTTCTACCAACTTAGATTAAAATAACTTTAGTTTATATTCCGATATGATAACACTTTCCAATCGGTTGTGTCTACCAAAACAGATAATTATAGATTTAATTGGATCAACCATACAATCATCCATCCCCCCCCCCCCACCCTAAGCGAATTTAGTTTAGTTAATTTAGATATAATCAAAGTTAGCTTATGAAAAATCCATTTTTTCTCCTAAATTGGTTAAGGGGGGGGGGGGGGGGGGGGAGGGGTTGTACGGTCGAACCCTTTAGTTTGTATTCCGATTTGATAAGGCTTTCAAATTGGTTGTGTCTACCAAATTAGACATAATAATTTAAGTTTATATTGAGCTTTGAAAATCTAACTTTCGGAAATAACTCCCGTCGGGCTAAAAACGCCGAACATATTTTCTCTGACACTTTCAGATTACTTGTTTTGTTGACATCACTTACGGTGTGTACAGAACTTGGGCCACAATTACAGGTTAACAAACGAAAGCTCGTAGTCCAATGAATGTAATAGCATATCAAAGCCACTTTCGGGTTATGGGGTTGCTTCAAGAAACCTCGAAAAATTAAGGCTTCCAGAGAAATTAAGTGCAAAGAAACCAAAATTAGATAAATATGAATCACTCATAAAATCGACGGTAATCTTTAAGCTACGATGAATTTGATTTTTTTTTCCGGAAAATATGAAATGTTTTGAAATGGCCTACTGAAATCTGCGGAAATATCTATTTTTTCAAAAACAAAAGCAAATATTTGAGACAACGAACAATGACAATTTGCAAATCAATTATTTCAACGATAGCTGTGGCCAGCTAAGACGAGAAAGCTAAGGTGGCATTAAGGTGGCAAAACACAGAAGCGAAATGTAGCTTCGCACCACATGCGATATAACACTAACATTTACACAGAGGCGAAGCTGGGCATGCAAACACAAGCGAGAACACAACAAAAAAAACAGTTAAATAAAGTGAAACAAGAAAAGATAGAAATAAGCCTCGAATTAGTAAAACTTTGCTATGTATGTGCTTCGAACCTGCGACCTCAAAAATTGGAGTCTCGATCCCTGCCCTCTCGGCCACGAACGCTTAACAACCGGCAACAAACACTAGTCACAAATGAAGCAGCTGCATTTGCTAACAAATTGCCAATGCCATGCAGCATAAGTGGCACCAAATACTAATATACACAACTTTGCAAGTAATAGTAAGGAATATAAAATACTGAAGACATCCACACTAATTATGCATGTGATAATATGGAAAGCATAAAAACACTTTGTGTATAAATTATGCTTTTCAAAAAAAGCGAGATATATTCAATTAAAAAATTTCCAAAATCGAGCTTTTGTTATTATGTTGTTTGAAACATATAGCTTTTTTTTCGGTTCATTTGATGAATTTAAAATGTATCAACTGCGTTAAATTATTACTATTGGAATGTTGAAGCACATGTAATCGAAAAGCCATAGAGGTGCCCCAGAAGTGGCGTCAATATTTGCGACTTAGGTTAGAAAAAAAAAATTGTCGTAGCATAACACTAACGCTCACTAAGTTAATTTTTTTCTGATGCTAGTTTGCATCCTGTTGTCATGACATGCATTCAATTTGATTGATTGGGTGTATAAATAGTTATGAAACATCGATTTTACTTTTTGCTAATGATTTTTCGGCTTTCGATTTAGCTCTTGGTTTCGTTTCCGATATGTTTATACCACCTTGTTTTCAGTACCTATGTGGCTATCGTGGATACTATTCGGGTAGTACATGTATGTTTTCCAATAAGACTGCCGAGCAATTCTTGATGATTTTCAGCTAATTGGCTGTCGGCTTAGTTCCCTAATATTTTGTTTCCTATAAATTTTTGATATTATTTAGATTGCTGAGACTGTCTAATAATTTTTTAAAAAATTGAATGCTCAAAGTCAACCCCATTTGGAACTCGTTTAAACTTTTTAACTTTTGAACTTGAAAAAATCATTTTCAATTTGTTTTGGTTTTTCTTGTTGTTCCTTCTAGTGTTACAACTTTCGAAGTCCTCTGTGATAGTTGTAGAAAGTCTTGCTGTTCAATCCTATACTTGTTATATCGCAAATGGTGCGAAGCTCAGCTTCGCCTGTGTAAAACCTATTCTTATCAAACAGGAAATCTAGGCAAACATGCCAATCAAGAAATTTGATTTTAAAAATCTTTAGAGCTTTAAATCCCTCCTAAAACTTCAAGGATCAAGGAGCACTTGGAACTACACTGAAAGTTGCTTAGTACAAGCTTAATCCGTATGGCAAATAAGCCGACAATCTTTGACAGACACCAGTTGAGCCGAAAAAAAAGTTTTTTTTTTTTCAATATGATTAACGTCCTCCCTTATTCAAGTCCACCCTTTAAGCACAAGCATACTTTAAAAGATCTAGTTTGGTGGACAAAGCATACGCCTCGAAACGTTTCCTCCACGTGCATGAAGGTGGTGGAAACAAAAATATCTCATTCCACAGCAGGTCCATCATGTGTACAGATGAAATGCTTCACTAAATTATCAAACTGTATTCTTGTAAAAAAAATAAAAAAACAAAAACGGCGTTATAAGCGTCAAACTGCTTTTGATAAAATCGCTAATAAAACATACAGAGCTGCAAGAAGTAAACTGTGAATATAAGTGGCAGCATATCTACACACAGACCATAGACGGAGCTGCACTTTGCACCCACACGCGAAAAAACGGCGAAAGTAGCCCTAAAACAAAGTGCAAAAAAAAACAAATAGATCTAGTGGAAAATCGATTTGAAAAAAAAAAACCTGCCAAAAAGCAAATATACATATATATATATATATATATATATATATATATGTTGCTGTTTGACTTTTTTTTCCAAATCAATTTTCCCCTAGATATCTCTGTTTTTTGTTTTTTTTTCACTGTTTTAGGGCTACTTTTGCCGTTTTTTCGCGTGTTGGTGCAAAGTGCAGCTCCTTCTATGCTTACATAATCTGCCACTTATATTCACAGTTTACTTCTTGCAGCTCTGTATGTTTTTATTGGCAATTTTATCAAATGCAGTTTGACGCTTTCAAGTTTTTGTTTTTGACAAAAATACAGTTTGATAATTTAGTGAAGCGTTTCATCTGTACACATGATGGACTTGCTGTGGAGTGAGATATTTTGTGTTTCCACCACCTTCATGCACGTGGAGGAAACATTTCTAGGGGTATGTTTTCTCCACCAAACTAGATCTTCTAAAGTATGCTTGTGCTTAAAGGATGGACTTGAATCAGGGAGGAATAAGGGAAGACGTCAATCAGATTGAAAAAAAAATAAAACAATTTTTCGGCTCGACTGGTGTCTGTCAAAGATTGTCGGCTTAATTGCCACATGGATTAAGCTTGTACTAAGCAGCTTTCAGTGTAGTTACAAGTGCTCCTTGAAGTTAAAGGAGGGATTTAAAGCTCTAAAGATTTTTAAAATCAAATTTCTTGATTGGCATGTTTGCCTAGATTTCCTGTTCGATAAAAATAAGTTTTACACAAGCGAAGCTGAACTTCGCACCATTTGCGATACAACAAGTATAGGATTGAACAGCAAGACACTCAACAACTATCACAGAGGACTTCGAAAGTTGTAACACTAGAAGGAACAACTAGAAAAACCAAAACAAATTAAAATAATGAAGTTCAAAAGTACAAAAGTTTAAACGAGTTCCAAGTGGGGTTGACTTTGAGCAAAGTTGTTAACGGGAAAAAAAGGTCCAGAACCCAATTGTAATACCCTTCCTTGTTGCAGGGGCAATGATTATCTATTGGATCAGGATTTTTTATTGACACGCTGTGAAAAATTTACATTTTTCAAAAACGGGGAATCAACGGTAAAAACCACCCACTCCCCTGTGTGCCTTCATAATCCCCTTTTCTCTTAATATTTTATCCCACTGTCTACAGTCTTCGCAGAAGTCTGGGGGAAAGTTTGAACCATATTTTCAGCTGTTTTTTGTTCTCTGAAAAACAACCCTCCCTAATCTGAGGCTCAATGGATGGAACAGGTTGTGCGAAGCTGTCCTGTATAATCGATTATGCTTTTATTTTTTTTAACACGTGCAAAGCTGTCCTGTATAATCGATTATGCTTTAATTATTTAACCACAAAGTTATAGTCCTCAGAAAAACTAATATATATAAATATTTGAGTCTAGTAAGGAATTATTTGAACCAATTAGCTACCTCAATTCAGTTTGAAGTGATAGTGATCGACGAATTTGGAAAAGGGAGTGATTAGCCGCGCACAATTAAGTGCATAAAAGCAAGCCCAATTTATTCCAGCAAAATGACAAGCTGTCATTTGCAAACTTCCAAAATTTTACTTACGATCATTGCATGTTAACTACCTTTTATCTTCAAAAAAGATGAAACCGTCGCTCAAAAACTATTATTATTTTTCTAACAAAAATTTGCACTGAAATGTATGTGACTGACGCTGGAAGATGCCATTCAAAAACTTTTCAAACAAATTTATCCGAACACCCAAATTTCCTGAAATTTTTCTTCAAATTTATCCGAACACCCAAATTGCCTGAAATTTTTCTTCAAATTTTTCTTCAAGAAATTAAATATATTCAGACCAGATTCTCTCTCGGAACGGAATCCGAATTATAATAAAGCCTTGATATGATTCCACATTGTACAGCTTCAAAGCATGGCAAAATTAGCTTACTTGTTAAAATTATGACCCATTAATGCTCTCACAAGAAGTAGCTTGCAGTCTACGAGAATTGTATTAACAGAAGCTTTATTTTATAGCTGATCAATGAATGGTAGCAGAGGCTTAACGTACCAGACTCATTGCGAAGTATACATCCTAAAATCAATCATGTTAGTATCATTGTTCAAATTATTGGAGAAATATGTATGAAAAAAGTAATGTCGGTCTACACAAATTTCGCCCCTCTAACTTTTTTCGGCAAATTGCCCCTTCCACATTAAATAGTAGGGGCGAAATGAGCTACCTGTAAATATATCAATAAATGGAACCCATAAGATCCAAAGTGAAAACTGACACGATTCATTGAAGTGTTATAAGTTCATGTTTAATTTGAATGCAATAAAAGATAGACCAATCGCAGTTTATTGAGGCAGTCTAGGTGAGTTTATCTGGGAGCGGTTTCGTTAATAAGTCTTCACTTACTCATCCGGTGACAAAATTATTCCTTTTCTAAACCACAAACAAATTCATGCAAAATATCATCATGCATTATCACAATCATACCGGTACGAGCAGGTGCGAATCTAAGACTTTATTAAGGTGGGATTTTCAATTCGACTAAAGTGATTGTCTCAAGCACTATGGTCGCAGGTATATTTTTGAGAAAAAAAACAAGCCAAAAAAGATTTGTTTCAGGACACTTTTTGCGTGAGGCGACAATTCGTAACAAGCAACAATTCGTAACGTGCGACAATTCGTAACAGTAGATTAAGCGGGGAACACTAATTCACGCGCAATATTCCTCTCGTTCCGGATGTAAGCGCAGCTGAGCAAGAGTATTCTACTTGCCAATGCCTTGTGACGAATTGTCGCCCTACCCACTTTCTGAAATGATTTTTTTTTGTAATTTTCGGTACGTGCTTCTCTTTCAAACTTAGCGTAAATTGTCAATTTTTGGCATTAAAATTTATTGTAAGATGTCACCTTTTGAGCAATCTCAGGGTCGAATCGCCCTTATAACCGCACCTGGTTCCGAGAATCACCAAAATTTTGCTTCATAAACAATATATCGCTGTTTCTTTAAGATAAGCTATGTTCAATTGATTCATTAAATCTAGGTTGTTTGATATTCATTCATCGGGGATAACTCAAGTCACGGTGGACTGAAATCAAACATGCCATGCTCCGCATACTCAGTAACCGGAACCCTTTGTACCAAAAATCTGTCTTGACAATTTTAATAATCATCAATAAAAGCACGGATATAGCACTATGCATGCATAATTTTGATGTCCAATTAAACAAAAAGTTACGATCGTACAGGAATACAGGGCCCATGTCAACAGTTTCTCCCCACAACTAACTAAGAGAACGATCACCCTAAAACTAGAAAAAGAATTTAAGATGTGAAGCCAAGCTGAAAACAGAGGCGAAGCAGAGCTTCGCAACACTTCCAATAAAAAAAAATCTCTGAAAAAAGAAGTTGAAAAAATTATTTGAAAAAATATCTTGAAAAGTTGAATAAGATACAGCTACAAAAACCTCATGGTTGTAAAGAAAGAAGTTCATAAACAGCCTTAAAAATAATTGAAAATGAATTACCGAGCGGCAACAAATTATGGGTCGAAACCTGTTTGAGCCGAAAACAAAACTGTTGTCATAAAAAATTTCAAAGTTTTAAGAATTTTCACGATTCAATCCAATAAAGAAACGAAAAAAAAAATTTGGACTTCGTAAGTTTACAAATTGCTTAAATTTCAGTTGTAGTAAAAAAACTATTTAAAATGGAACAAAACACATGCTGTAGAAAGTAAGTCAATAAAAACCCTATCAGATAAAAATGGCGTTCCAAAAAAAAACAGAAATTGAACCGACAGAAACTAGGGCGAAAACCACGCTCACGGCCCCGAAAAAATTGAGAATTTTTTTGAAACAATTACAATCTGAAACGGGCTTTTCCTATTTACTACCTGAAATCTAGTTTTATTTGCATTTTCAAGACATTGAGCATGTCAGAAGATGAAGGCAGGGGCAGATTTAGGGGCGAGGCGGACGCCCCCCCCCCTCAGGGATTCGACCCCTACCGACCCAAAGGGGGCTCTTTTTCCTTTTCCCCCACCTCACACGAGCTTCAATATATTAGTGTAACGAGTGGTTTTACGAGGTTGAGTATGAAGACCAAATATGTTTGTCGTGGCTTTATTAGTCGGTATGTAAACTTGCATTACAATCGGAGAATGTGTACAACAAATGTATATGTAAAAATTTGCAGGTGGGGGAAAAGGAAAAAGAGCCCCAAAGGGTTCCTTTTGTACTGTTTTGAGATATCCATATTTGGTGCCGGACCCTAAAAAATTTCTAAAGGCTACTTTAAAAATTTGAGGGGGGAGCGCGCGCCTTTTTCTTAAAATTTTGCCTTCGGCGCAGAATATTTGACCAAAACGGTCTTTTTAGTGATTTGGGAAAGCTCGGAAAATCAATTTGGTCGACTTAAAAAAAAGGTCGACAAAATTTTCAAATATTTTTGAAAATCCGCCACCCCCTCTGTTTTTCAACGACAGGTCAGTAATTTCCCAACATAAATCCACATTTACCTTCTAAATGAAGTACTTTACTTATAACCCTGACCCAGACATATTTTACAGCTTTGTAACTTTCTATCAGATCTGAAACGGCGATCATCATTGTTTAAATTAACAAGGCTCGATCTACATTGAAATCCTTTCTGTCGCATTTGCATGTACCTAATACTTATCGTGACCAATCCTTTCCACCAGGGGCGGATTTAGGGGGGGGGGGCGGACGCCCCCCCCCCCCTCAGGGATTAGACCCCCTGCCGACCCAAAGGGTCCCCCCTTTGATACTTTTTAAGAAATCCATTTTTTGCCGACCGACCCTAAAATTTTTCTAAAGGCGCCTTAGGCGCCAATATATACTAACTTTGAGGGGGAGCGCGCGCCAAAAAAACGCGATTTTTTTTGTCAAAACTTTTCAAAAAGTGCCTAAAAACGGCTTTTTTGACCTGTTTTTTCAAAACCGGGACCTTTGGCAAAAATTTGGCAAAAACAGGGACCTTTTAGTGCTTTACGAGAGCTCAGAAAATCAATTTGGTCGACCTAAAAAACAAAAAAAAGGTAGTCAAAATTTTCGAAAATTTTTTGAAAATCCGCCCCCCCCCCCCCTCAAAAAAATCCTAGATCCGCCCCTGCTTTCCGCCTCAAAAGCATTCCTTTCTGCTTTTGGGGCGGAAATGACTGGAGCAGAAATGACTGCTTTTTTGGGCGGCAATGACTGGGAGCCAATATTTATATCCTATATCCCTACTTAGTAAAATATAAAATAAAATATTAAAAATGGCTTCATATATCGGCTATACACCTCTGTTTGTTAGCATTATGAGATTGCTAAGTATATATCTTACAAAAAAGGGTTTGTCAAAATTAATTAAGGTGAAGGGTCTTTGAACTTACTTTGCTCAAAATTGCTTAAAAAACTCAACGACGCGCTTTTATCAAAAATTTCGATTTAAACGCTTCTTCCAATTTACACCAATCGTCCAATTTAAACTAATCGTCCAATTTAAACCGGCTCTTCTTATAACTTAAACCAATCGAACTACCACATTTTTATTTCGGTTTTGCGAGTTTAGGCGGAGAAAGTAAGATTAAATAGAAAAAAAAACAACTTACACTTCTTCTATTGTATAGTTTTCTATGTAGGATACTCCATCAAGTAATGATTCGTCAAGGCAGCAGTACCATGTTGAGAGATCGTGCGTGTAGCAGTAATCGTCAAAAACCTGTCCCACCTGTTTTCTCTGGTTTTGAAACTGGGCATCAAAGAAGGATTTGGTGAAGCCATTCTGGCAGTCGTCTTTCTTCCGGGCGGGGTTGAAAGAGGCTGTCAACAGATTTTAAGCACCATTGTTTCAAGCATGAACAGAAAACAAAAAAACACTGGCTTTTTGAATTTTCAGAACAATTTATGATTAAATTTTTCAATAAAACTAACCCAATTTGTGAAAACTCGGTAAATTTTTCAGCCCTCAGGGAAATCTACACAGAGGCGAAGTTGCACTTCGCATACAAAAGTAAAAATATGACCGATAACGCTACTGTGAAAAACTGAATGAGTAAAACTTTGAGACTACAAAATTTCTTGAGCAACGCACGCCAATTATGACGCATTAGCAAGACCAGTCAATTTGAAAAAAATTACCAACTAACATGCCTCAAAAATATAGTGGACGCATTTAAACTAGTAAACGAAAAGTTCATTAATAAGATCCGACCCTGTACCGGTTCGAACCCTCTTAATTTGTTGCGGGTCTACCTCTACGCTACAGATCCATGATACCTTGAAGCTTAAGTGCTATTTGTAATATAATTGTCTGTGTAAATATCCTTAGCATTGGCTGTACTAAATAGCGGGTTATTGATCAAAATGAACACATTTTGTCGCAACAATTTTCGCGTCGCAACAATATTTGCGACTTAGGTTGAAAAAAAGAGAGTTCATAATATAACAAAAGCTTTTCTTATGTAAAAAATCAAAATTCATTTTCGAAATTAGAGGCCGACCACGCTTTTCCAGACATGCTGTTCGATAGTGTAGCTTGCCTTTTTTAACAAAGAAAAGGAATTGAACTTGAAAAGAAATCAAAAGTCATACAGGAAAAATTAAATTTGGGCGTGACTGCTTCCAAAAACAGCAGAAAAAAAAGCATCACGACCTATAATAGTCTTTACACATAGGCGAAGCGGAGCTTCGCACCACTTGCGATACCAAACAAACATAACGAAACAGTCGAAAAATTTGAGAAAACTTAAGATAATGAAAGAAACAAGGTGAACCAAAACTTTCACAAGTCTCGATAAAAAACAACTAGTGAGAATAAGTGATAAAATAAACTTTGAGAAAGAGGAGCTTCACACTAACATCTATCTCATTGAACTGACAATATCAGATTTGAGATGTTAGTTTTCGAGAAAAAACCGAAAAGATCCAAACAACGGTCAAAAATAAGTAATTCGACTATTCCGAGCGCCATAACTTTGAGTGCAAAAAAACTTAGTCGCAGCCACTTTTGCAGGGAAGTTTTTGAAAACAGTATTATCCATTGAAACCAAAACTCGAGAGGTAGTTTTCAAGAAAAACGAAAAAAAAAATCAAAAATCTGGTCAAACTGTTCCCCATACTTTTTCGAAGGCCGTAGACAGGGGAAGTAAAAAATAACTATAGGCGAGTATGCAGACACACAACGAATAAGCGGTCTTTCAATTGATACTCCTTTTTTGAAAATCAAGAAAGGTTTCTGAGAAAACTAAAAATTTTGCAAAAAGTAGAAAAAATTCCAAAACGAAAAAGAAATTTCAACAAACAGATTGGTAAACATTCAACCAACTGAAAAAGTGTGGAGAACAGTGTTAAAAGAGTGTTGATCATAAAACGTCCCAAAATTAGATCATTAGGCCGTTGAAAAATAAGTCGAAATATATTTGGCCTAGGAATGTTTTAAGCGAAACAAGTAAAACCAAGAAGGAAATATAAAGTCATGGCAAGTAAACTTACAAAATGAAGGCTTAATTCAAACACTAAAAACAACATAAAAAATCGCGCGTAGAAAAAATAATTTCAAGATGTGACAACGAAATCGACAACAGACAAGCAGACAAATAATTGGCCGAAATTTTTTTTAGAAGCCGAACATATCCTGTTTGAAAAAAAAGGTCCAGGCCAGACTCAAACCAAGGACCTTGGGCTTCCCAGACATATTCGTTTCCTCCAGGAACACTATGAAGTTTGAATACATAATGAAACAAGGTAGAGATGAGTCCAGACGAGTCCTCTGGACAAAGTTGTTTAAGGGGAAAAAGTCCAGTACCCGGTATTCACTTGCGAATCTCAGAGGAGCTATCAATAAGCCTTAACAGTCATGTCAAAGGAAAGTCCATTTGTATTATCTCCCCACATTCCAGACTGTTATTTTGTTGAGCGAAGCTCTTTTTTGGCAACTCAAGACCGTATATATTTTACTATATTCACTATATTTTACTATAGTTTACTATATTAAATCTTAAAAAACGAATTGCCCTATTTACGTTTAGTATTTCAATGAGCAAAAACTGAAACGTTAGAAGAAAACAAAAATGTATTTCCGAAAATTTTATATCACGTTTCAGACCCCTCCCCAAAATAAGACAAAACAGCTGATGCAAAAACTACAATAAAATCAAGCAATAAAATTTGCATATATACAAAAAACCTGTAAGCCAATAATTCACTCAGCAATACCCAATTTTTTTGATCTTCATACATAAAATTAGTCATAAGACAACTTACATTTATAACGTTCATAAAGTTAAGTGAAATTATACCGTACCAGAAATGGTTGATGAAATTAGTTCTTTTTCTAACCTTGACTGTCCTTTGATAAAAGATAGCAGAAGGCAATCGAGAGATAAAATTTCCGGCACATTTTGGAGTTGCTAAGTAGGTATTGCAAGGTAATCAATGAGGCTCAATAATAAAAAAAATGCAATAAATATTGAGTATCATAAATAATGAATCAACATGAATCAATGAGGCTCAATAATTTAAAAAATTGCAATAAATATTGAGTGTCATAAATGATGAATCAACAAAAGGCAGGATTTAAAAACATTATCAGTGAATACAACAAACAAGTCGCTCAATTATTTAGAACAGTACAGAGCGCATTGAAAAAATAAAATAAAATGTTTTCTCATGCATAAACGCACTTTCGTCTTTTGCGGCCAGACAGTATTTGCAAAGTGCCATATCTGAAAATAAAACAATTGAAAAATGTGATGACACCATTTAAAATGTCGACTAGAATGTGCAACTAGGCAATATTAAGCATTGACATCAGTAGTTCTAAGTTTGAACAAATGTTTTTAGCAGATTTTGATGGCTACTTATTTTAAAATCAGTAGAACATATATTTATTTAAAAAACTCTTTCACAAACAATTGTTTCTCAGATTATGATAGATGCTAATTTTAAATCTGTCCAACGAATATAGCTATTACGCTTTCGGATGATGTATAAAAAGCCGAATCACCAAACCAAATTGAGTCTAAAAAAACTGTCAAACATCCAAAGAATTGGACCTTGTTAACAACGCCGATTTTCAGACGATGCTCAGACAGGTATAGATAAAAATCAAAATTAACATAGTAATATTCAGATAAATTTCTTTAAAAAATGCTAAGATATGTTTCTCAGATTTTGCTCTTTTTATCAGATATTGTTAAGAACTCTTTTCAACGTCGATTCGGGTTTTGGCGAGGGTTACGGCAGCGGATCTAATTATTCTTTATGGATCGAGCAATGACATTTCAAACTACCCCAAAACATTTAAAAACGCAGTTTTTGTTGCTCTTGCTGCAGAAAATGGTTCAAACCAAGTGACTTATTTTTGAAAATACTTCAATTTCCAATTTCAAAAATCTGAAAACTAAACAAACTGAACCGAACTTTAAACAGCAATTAATGATTTTAAGAAAACTGGATCAATAAAAAAAACTTTTTATTTCGCAGGAAATCTGAAAATTAAACGAAATGAACTGAAAAGATATCAAAAGTCAATCCGCCAAAAAGCTAACTGCCTGTTGGAGCCTGAACAAACTTTAACTTTTCCTCAAAAACAATCATCACGGCCTATATAAGAGTCCATAAAGTTTTAGACAGTTTACGAACACTGCAATTGTTGCTTATTGCAGAGACAAGACAGCTGATTATTTCAATAAAATTTAAGTTGAAAAGAGACATGAAATCTATCATGTTTATAATCGGCTCTTTAGGTTACAGTGGCTGTTTCAACTCAAATGAGACGTCTGTTTGATATCCTAGCGTAATTGCAGGAAGATTTATCTGGCACAGACAGTTCTCAGTCATGAATAGCTTGATTTTTTTTGTTTCCTTTCACTTATTCACTTGCATTAAGATCGCCCAAGTAATGTCAAAAAAGCTGAATTGAAAACGCATTATGAAAAAATTAAGGTTCCCAATTGGAGAAACGTTAGAACAAGCAAAACATTGAGAACAGATTGGCAAAACGCTTTAGCAGAATAGTCATGGGTTCTATAAACATACCTCAGTATTTGTGAAATAAAAAAATTTCAAGTGAAGTGAATTCTCGTTACACTTATTTCGGAGTTCCGATTCGATTTTCTTTCGATTCCAATTCTTTGAAACTCAAGTTACAACTCGAAGAAACAAAAAAACTTGATCAATAAAAACCAATGAAGAGGCAAAGCAGAGCTTCGCACCACTTGCGATACCACATAAACAGCTCTGCCAGCTAGCAGACAAAAATGAAAGGAGAGCTCCTAAATAAAAAAAAATTATTGAGGGTTTCAGCAGTCAAATTTAAAGGCCGCACCTGCAAACCTTTTGAAATCAGCCCATGAAACTGCCGAGAAGTTTTTTTTTTTTTCAATCAAATTAATTGAAAAGTTTGGGAAAAACACTAAGAAAAACATATCTCGGAAAACAAAAGGATTTGAGCAATCATACTCGAAGGCGAGATTTGCAACACCCCATTGTACTCCGACAACACTACACCACAGGGTTGAAAAACTGGAGTTTTGTTTAGTTTTTTTTTAAAACAAAATCATTAAAAATCGCCATATTTCGGCTGATATAAGTTGTTTAATCAATCATGCTTGGTGGAGGGCAGACTTGCCATCCCTGGGTGTAACCTGACAGCAACCTACAGAAAGGTTGAGAATTTGAATTCTTGTTACTTTTTTAAATCTAAATAGGTTGCCCTGAAAAAGATTTAATCCTATTTGATAGCGCTTGCTAATATCCATTGTAATTAACTTGGACAACGATTGGATATTTCACACAGAGGCAAAGCTTCGCCTCGCAAATCCGAACACGACAAAAAGCAGCCCATGTAAGTGCAATAAGAAAACTGGAAATACAACAGTTACTTAAAAATCGGTTACTTAAAAACCCATCGCGACCTAGAGATTATGAGTCTCACGCAACAACCTCTCAGCCACGGACGCTTAATAAATTGCAACCACTAGTCATAAAAAAGCATAGAAGACATGCTATGAAATTCCCGATACTACAGATCGAGATTATAGCAAAAGTGCACCAAATATGTGAACACTTTCCAATTCAATGAACCTTTTATGTGCGAGTTAGGTTAGAAAAAAAACGAAGTTTCGTACTAATGCACTACGCTGGTGGCTAATGTAAACACCTCCAGAAATACGACTGAAGGAATTGTTAATGAAACAAATTAAATGAGAAGCGAAGCCGAGCTTTGAATCTCTTACGATACAGCACAAACTTGCCGACAAAAAATTGGACTAAAATTGCTTGTTCTAACAGGAAAATTTGAAAGAAAACAGAGAAAAAGTAAATTATCAAATTTTTAACACTTCCGTCTTATTTTTTGTATTCGAAAAAGCCAATTAAAAAACAAGCCAAAAAAATTAGTGCGAAGCTTAAGAACTGCTGAAGCAGATATACGTTGAGCCCGGAAAAAAAATCGTTTTCACAACCCCCACCCAAAACACAGAAAAAGTTTTTTTTGCTCATTAAATGCCGCAATAAAAAGCCAAAAGCCAATATCATATGCGTCTAGGCCTTTAAGCCCAAAAATAAAAAAACAACAATAAAAAATGAAATTCTAACGTAGCTATTAAATTTACAACCAACTAATAACGCAAAATTTCACCCAGCTAGCGAAAAGAAAACAAGACGAAAACCACTAATTCAAAACAGAGCCAAAAGAAAGTTGCAAAAGAGTCAAAAGGTGCATGGAAAGAGAAAACGACGAACTTGACTTTTTAAAATTATCACTTTCAAATTATATTTCAAATAAATATACGGCCTTTGAACTCCAAGAATAATTTCCGATAGAAACGTTTTGATAAACTAACCTACTTTGTGAAAGCTGGATCAAAACGTATTTTTTATTCCGCCGGCAACTCTGAAAACTGAAACTTATCGTCGAAACTAGAATTTGATCACGTTGCTCGTGACCTTTACATGTTTGCTATTCGATAGTCGAGTTTGGCCTCGTTTAACAAAACAAATGAACTGAACAAAAAATCAATCAAGCCGCAATTGGAGCAGAATAAAATGCTCAGACTTTTCCGGAAAATAAGAAAACGTCACGGCCTACATTATAGTCTGATCTATGTTCATCGACTCATAAAAATTATTTGCTGAAAATGCTGAAATATACATCTACAAAAAATTTTCAACAAAAAACTTGTTTCGACTGATCTTTAATATCAGGAGTTGAAAAACGAAACCAACAGCGATAAAAAAAAGCATTCAATATTATTTACTGAGTGGCCATTTAGCCGAAAAAACTTTGACGCCCGTTGAGCCAAAACAAATTAAACAAAAACTATTTTTGACATCGAAACATTGAGTATTTCGAATTTCTGAGCTTAATAGCTCAACTTTTTTGAGTATTACTCCTGAAACATAGAAAAAATATACATTTTTCTTTTGAAACGACGAGATATAGGATCACTAAGGCATTAAAACATCAGCCAAAGCGAAAACAAAAACGAACTTACTCAAAATTTGAGGTTCAAATTATAGAACGACTAGACGCGGTTGAAATAGCCTAGTTCATCGCAAGGGTAAACAATGATCTAGAATTCAAGTAAAACGCAAGAATATTTCACACAGAGGCAAAGCTTCGCTTCGCAAATCCGAACACGACAAAAAGCAGCCCATGTAAATGCAATAAGAAAAACTGGAAAAACAACAGAGTTACTTAAACATCTGTTAAGATCGGATTCGATCTCCGACCCATCGCGACCTAGAGATTATGAGTCTCACGCAATAACCTCTCAGCCACGGACATTTAATAAATTACAAACACTAGTCATAAAAAAGCATAGAAGACATGCTATGAAATTCCCGATACTACAGATCGAGATTATAGCAAAAGTGCACCAAATATAAGAACAATTTCCAATTCAATGAACCTTTTTATGTGCGAGTTAGGTTAGAAAAAAACGAAGTTTCGTACTAATGCACTACGCTGGTGGCTAATGTAAACACCTCCAGAAATACGACTGAAGGAATTGTTAATGAAACAAATTAAATGAGAAGCGAAGCCGAGCTTTGAATCTCTTACGATACAGCACAAACTTGCCGACAAAAAATTGGACTAAAATTGCTTGGTCTAACAGAAAAATTTGAAAGAAAACAGAAAAAAGTAAATTATCAAATTTTTAACACTTCCGTCTTATTTTTTGTATTGGAAAAAGCCAATTGAAAAACAAGCCAAAAAAATTAGTGCGAAGCTTAAGAACTGCTGAAGCAGGTATACGTTGAGCCCGGAAAAAAAATCGTTTTCACAACCCCCACCCAAAACACAGAAAATTTTTTTGCTCATTAAATGCCGCAATAAAAAGCCACAAAGCCAATATCATATGCGTCTAGGCCTTTAAGCCCAAAAATAAAAAAAACAACAATAAAAAATGAAATTCTAACGTAGCTGTTAAATTTACAACCAACTAATAATGCACTATTTCACCCAGCTAGCGAAAAGAAAACAAGACGAAAACCACTAATTCAAAACAGAGCCAAAAGAAAGTTGAAAAAGAGTCAAAAGGCGCATGGAAAGAGAAAACGACGAACTTGATTTTTAAAATTTTCACTTTCAAATTATATTTCAAATAAATATACGGCCTTTTTGAACTCCAAGAATAATTTCCGATTGAAACGTTTTGATAAACTAACCTACTTTGTGAAAGCTGGATCAAAACTTATTTTTTATTCCGCCGGAAACTCTGAAAACTAAACTTATCGTCGAAACTAGAATTTGATCACGTTGCTCGTGACCTTTACAGGTTTGCTATTCGATAGTCGAGTTTGGCCTCGTTTAACAAAACAAATGAACTGAACAAAAAATCAATCAAGCCGCAATTGGAGCAGAATAAAATGCTCAGACTTTTCCGGAAAATAAGAAAACGTCACGGCCTACATTATAGTCTGATCTATGTTCATCGACTCATAAAAATTATTTGCAGAAAATGCTGAAATATACATCTACAAAAAATTTTCAACAAAAAATTTGTTTCGACTGATGTTTAATTTCAGGGAGTTGAAAAACGAAACCAACAGCGATAAAAAAGCATTCAATATTATTTACCGAGTGGCCACCCGGTGAGCCAAAACAAATTAAACAAAAACTATTTTTGACATCGAAACATTGAGTTTTTCGAAATTCTGAGCTTAATAGCTCAACTTTTTTGAGCACTCCTGAAACATAGAAAAAAATATATTTTTCTTTTGAAACGACGAGATATAGGATCACTAAGGCATTAAAACATCAGCCGAAGCGAAAACAAAAACGAACTTACTCAAAAATTGAGGTTCAAATTATAGAACGACTAGACGCGGTTGAAATACCCTAGTTCATCGCAAGGGTAAACAATGATTTAGAATTTAAGTAAAACGATGTTCAATTTGGTTTAAAAAACGTAGACGTTTCCCTAAATAACAATTAAAACCGTTTGCTTATACTCCTTTTCTCCTACTGAAGTTCATTTTCTCGAAGTTCACTCTCTCGAAATAGAGAAATTATGGAGTCAATTTTTCAAAATTAGTACACTTTCGATGTAATGACTGAAACGAATGCACTGTTTATCGCCGATTTTAGAATATACCAATCAAACCAGTAAATAAAATCCAGCTTTTGCAAATTTTTTCACCTTTTTGAATAAATCCTGAATTCAGTGTTAAAGCTCAGCTTCATCCACTACCCTTGAAATTGAATCACCATAGGGGTAAAAACGCAAGACACAGAGGCAAAGCGGAGCTTCGTATCATTTGCGATACAACTCAAGCAGAGTATTACAAGCTAGAAAACAGAGACGAAACAACTAAGTTATAAAGTTTTCTTTTGGAGTAAATAAAAATTTATTTTCAAAAAAAATAAGTGAGACAATACCAGCTTTATACACGCTTTTACTATTCATCGAGCGGCCACTGAGCCGAGAATAAGTGGGAAGCCTACCGTTAAGCCCAAACCAGAAAAAAAAACATAAGAAATTTATCGTCCTTAAAAACTTAGAGCGAATTAGTTTTTAAACTTTTAACTTTTGCACCACAACCGACCTGAATTAATTAAAAATGACCCAATTTTGTCTTTCAAACGACACAGAATTTGACTGAGCCGATAATGCATTAGCCGAAACCAGGTAGGCCGAATGATTTTTTTCAAGTAAAATATTTATGTAAAGCCAGTGCTGGTAAATTTTAAATTACCAGAGAAAGTCAAAAAAACTTGCAATTACAGAGAAAGAATCCAAAATGTGTCACTTAGGCTGCCAAAAAAGCAGACAAGCAGAAGCCCGATAAAACAATTATCACGGAAAAAATTTCAGATTCATACAAACGAAAAAAACAAGGTCCGGTCATGACTCGAACCCCTGACTAAAGGATGCCAAGTCAACTGCATTACCTCCAGACCAAATTGGGAGGAGACCGGAAGTTATAAAAAAGGTTCATTAATAAAGCAAGCTCAATTTGTTAGAAATTTGTAAGAAAAATTGTTTACGGGGGAAAAGTCTTGTTTTCGATTATGTGACCTATGCTGTCGCAAGTGAAACAAATATGGAAACTCATAAATTGCTATATTTACTTTCAACATTTTTCTACACTTTTAGATTTCTGAGTTCCCTGAGGTACGTGCAGCTTGTTTTGGTATGTTGCAGAAAAAATTTAAACTTAATATAATCCGACTGAACTATGATTCCAAAAATTGACTGAACTATGATTCCAAAATTGACTTAACAATGACTCGAAAAAAAATCTCAACCATTTCAAGTATCTGGTCCAATTTTACCCGAAAATTTGAGTGAACTATGATTCCAAAAAACCTCAACCATTTCAAGTATCTAGTCTCATTTTTTACCTCAGCACAAAAGTTTAAAAAATCACAAAACTATTTAAGGACGAAATATATTTTTTCCAAAAGATCGTTTTCAGTTTATATAATTGAACTGTTCAAGTTTCAAACCACATTTCTTAAGCAAAAAAAATCAAACATTTTCACCGCCTTTTCAATTCATCGCCTGATTGCTTTTTTCGCAAGCAACCAGTTTGAAAAATAAATCCAGCTAAAAAGTCGTGTTCCAATGAGAAAACACTAGCTACCGCATGTGTAATTAAATTGCTGACCTTAAAAGGTAATTCCAATCAATACCAATCTTTTTTCAAATGATTGCAATTTAAAATTTCAAATTGGAACATTCAAGCATCAACAAACCAACACAATGAATTAAATTCAAACCAAAATGACGCGTTTTAACATTCTTTTGCCTCCTATTGTCACAGACTCTTTTGTTTCGATTCCAAATACTCCTTAACTGATGCGAATCCTAACATCAGGCTAGTTGAAGCAATAGTTTTTGGGAGTTCATTCAAGTTCCTTTTTACTCTACAAACATTGCACTGACATTCGCCTCTGCAAGAAGGACACGTCCACACTTTATTCTTTAGTGCTTCGACTGCGTCTTCATTGTACCATAAACTTAAACACACTCCACAAATTGACCCCCGACCTTTCGAACAGCCATCAGAAAGACAAATCGTTTTCGTATCCGAAGATTTCACTCGACACTGATGACAAGCAGTCTCTGAGTATCCATTTTTGGGCATCGTTTCTTTCTCGGTCGCCGTTTTGCAAACACGTGAAATCATTTCACTGGTAACTAGAGTACCCGTATTCGATTTTCTGGGCTTTTTAGCTGACAAGCTATGTCTTTGCGGACTCGGAGAATTTACTTTGCTGTTTAGAGAAACATTCGTTTTAGATTTCCGAGGAGATATTGCTTCGGACTTGGGCAAGAAAAAAGAGCTTTTTCTCAAGACTAAATTCTTAGATTTCTTCTGCGATTGAAACCTAGATTTCTCTGTCGAACTTTCGTGTGCATCGGGATCATTTTCTTTATCTTTGCTTGGAGTCAAGACGTTCTCGTCGTTTTCGACATAATCAGCTGGAAACGAAAACATATCTGCAAAATTGCTAGCGGCCGAATCTAACTTGTTTACAGACTTCTTTTTCTTGGATATTGGTCCCAATTTCGTTTTAGAACTTCCAGCTACAATAAGTGAGTTGGTTGAATCTGAGACATCAGCGGTTATTTTCATATTGGAAATCTTGAAAGAATAAGAATAATGAAGTTAGTTTAATTGGAGCGAATCGAAACTATCAATTTGACATTGCGCATTTAGACCATCTCAAGTGAACTCAAGTGTAGCGTGTTGACAGAGGGGGTACTATTTTTCGGCAGTTGCCATATCTGACAGAACAACTCTAAAAAACTTCCAAAAGCGACTTTTTTTAAAGTTGTCTAAAAAAACTCCACAAAAAATTCTCAAAAACGGATTTTTTTTCAATAAAAATAGCCTGCAGCTTAGGAACATATATTAATTATGGCTATTGTGAGGTTTCGATCCAAAAAAAAAAATCAAAATTGTTGTGACCTAAAAGATGGCTTACAACAATTATCAACCCCCATTCGTCAAAAAAATACCGTGCCGGCCACATCCATGGTTTAATTAGTACACACACAACCTAAACGCGCAACTTTGCTACTTTGAATGGAAAATTGAACTGCACGTACCACAATGGCATTTCATCTAATAACACCAGTAACGTAAGCTTGAGTCGCATTAAGACTTGGGCAGACTCGTTTTTTGATGACTCATTTCGACTCATACTCCAACTATTTTCAAACGAAAAAAAACACTGGTTTATGAAAAGTGAACTCAAACTAAACAACTAACTAAACAAAATATGACTCTTTTCAATTTAGAACACAGCGGTTCTAAACTAAGCCGCGCGTTCCTTTGGAGATTTGAATGGATAATTTATAATCTCAAATATTTCCTGTTCACTAGTGACAGGAATCGGTTCTCCCGCAACTCCTGTGCTTCCTATGGGCCTTATCGAATACTCGTTCAGAGTAAAGCCCTGCTCCAGTGCGTGTGCTCTCATAGTCTTATTAAACAGGTCACTTCCAGTGAAATACAGAAGAGCAAAGTAGTACTGGCCTTTAGGGAGCACCCTGATATCCAGCCTTCGATGCTTGAACACTTCACCATTTTCATCTGGCAACTTACACACAGCCGCAAGTTTTGAACCACCCAATGCCAGAACATCTGTTATGAACCCGTCGTTTTTTAATTGTTCGACTATTTGATTTAAAAAAGGATCGCTTTTCTTTGAAGGCGAACCTGCAGTGCTTAAAGGATGTGTGACCAAAATATCGATATCTCCACACGTTTCAGCGCCGCGTCTAAAACTACCGCAAAGTTCCGCCGAAAATTTAATATCGACTTTCAAAATATATTTGAGCAGTTTATCATTCCACTTTAACATTTCGGAGCGCGGAATTCTTTCTTCAAACTCGTCCAAATATTCAAGTCCAATTTTTTGATGATGATTCAGCAAATGAGCATTCTTTTTCAGATCCTCGAGTGTTTTTATATTATTTTCAGTAACTAGTTTTCTCGCATTTGTTGGTCCGATTCCTGAAACTCGAGTTAACTCAGTAATAGCAGCTGCGTTGTCATCTTTCTTGATTTTGTTCAGTTTTTCAAGAGTTCCAGTTTTCAGAAACTCTTCAAGTTTCAGTCCGATTTGTTTACCAACACCTGGAATTTGCATGGCTTCTTGCATGTTTGTCAGCTTCGTTGGGTGCTTAGAAATAGCACTCGCTGCTTTCTTGTAAGCATTTGCTTTGAAAGTATTGTTTTCGACTGTCCGCTCAAAAACCGAAAGTTCGTTCAGAACTTCACAGAAGTCGTGATTCGGATTTTCGTCCGTATTAATTAATTTACGTTTACTCATCTGAAAACGATAGCGTTTTCTTCAATGATAGATGATTTATTTTTCCGAAAAAAATCAGACTTGAAAAAATGCTTTTTTTTGTAGCTTAGTGGGAAGTCGAAACATCAAATCATTCAAAAGGAAAATCGCTGGGCTCAAGTTAATTACCGTTATTTCTAAGCAATAGCGGAACTTGGGGGGGGGGGATTGTCAAGGAGACGCCTTTAGTTAGGGATTCAATCTCCTGGCAACCCCGTTAGTGCTGCTTTAGGACACCCCTTTTTGGTCAACCAACCCTTCAACTTTACTAAATTGCATTGAGCGCTGGATATTTTCTTAGAGGCGACTAAGATAGAAGCCAGCTAGTCAAAAATGAGCATATACGCATCCCTATAAAAAGCTTTTATTTATACTGATACCGCTGATCGTATTTCCTCTCTGTGTTTTTAGTAAAAGATAGTCTTTCAGTCGATTGTCCTAGATTTTTGGGATATTCCTTCAGTCGGTTTTGGGGTGTGCACTTCCAAAGGAATCTGGATGAAGTGTTCTGGATGATTTTGCTCCTTTGAAATTCAAAAGAAAAGTACAAAGCACGCGGGCAGTTTGGTTCACCAACAGGCTCGCAAATCTGAGAAACGAGCAAAATATAGCTCACAGCAAGTGGAAAATCAGTCCGCAGGTTCCGAGTTCGGACAAGCTTTCAAAATTTTCAAACCACCAGCAAAACACTTAAAAAATGACATTCCAAATATTGTCAGACCGAATATTAAAAATATTCCGTTCTCGATGTATCTAAAAATTGTCAATACCGTAGAAGTATCGAAAATTTAAATTACAAGCTTTCCTCCGGTGATGACTACATCAGTAAGATAATTGTCAAAATTTCAGCAACGGTTGTAACACCCTATTTAGCCTTTTAGATCAACCTTTATTTTTTGAAAGGCGTGTTTCCGAAATAACTTTGCAAAGCAAAAATGTTTCCTCTATACAAAGAAGGATGAACATAATTACTGACCTATCTCTTCTGATTGTTTAGAGCAAAATATATGAGAGAGCAATGCACAATCGCATGTATTAATACCTTGAGAAATTGCCTAGAATGCTATTTTCTGAGCAATATGGTTTCCGCAATAAGCACAGCACAATTGATGAATTAGCAGAATTAACCCGAGAAAATGATATTCCGAACATCAACTGGTGAAATTGACAACTTTTTCTTGAAATTTATAAAAGCCGTTGACACTATCGACCACAAAATACTAACTTACAACTGGGAAAAGCATTGTTTTCGCGGCAAATGTTTAGATTGATTGAAATCATAGCTCACTATAGGGTTTAAAGTTTAAAGTTCGGTTAGTTTTATGTCTAAGTTTTTTGATAAAGAAATGAAAAAAAAACATAAGAAACGCCGTATCTCGAAAACCAAAATGAATTGAGCAGTCATACTTAGACGCCAGATTTGCAACCCCTCAATGTACCCTGAAAGCACCCCAGTATAATCTTGAGACTTTCCAATTTATTTAATTAAATTGTGAAACAAAAATTTTGATGGTTTCACGTTGCGAAAATAGGAAAAAATAGGACTTGAGTAAACTTTTGAACCCTTGCAATGTCTTGGCTTTTTAACAGAACATAGGTACTCGAAAACAGAACAACATGTGTCAAATGAAACTTCTTAAGCATTTATATATACGATATAGAAACTCTTGTTAAATATGCAAAAAATACGTTGAAAAAGTTTAAACATGAAAACATATGGACTTTTTAAACATGTCAACTTAGGGACTTCTTAAACATGTGTAACAAGAACCGCCAATTAAATAATAGAAAAGATACATGCCGGCACGTTAAACCGTTGAGTGATTATTTAGATATTTATATTGATTGCAAGTTCTCATTAGTGAGTTCCATTCTCATTACTGATTTCGTTAAAATGAAACTTGAAAAACAATGTGGAAAAGTTTCACAATGAAGGCTTTATTAACCAACATACCAGCTATAAGACTACTACTGTAGTAATATTGTTCCTATTTTACAGCATGGTATTCTGATTTACTGATGTTTCGGTTTTACTATTTTGAAAAAAAATTTCGTTTTGCAAAAAAAAATAAAGTTTTTTTTTCGAAAACAGCAAGATCACTGTGCCAAAACAACATGCTGACTGTATTTGAGTATCATATCTACCAAGCTTTGAAATTTGTTCTCAAATCTCAAAAAAAATTTGTATTGTGAATGTTTTTTCAATGAATTGATCACTTTTCAACATTCTAAGAAAATTACAAGACAATCCAGTACTAATTTACTCTCGAAACCTTTTTGAAACGGAAAGTTGAAAGATTCTCGGTACAGCATAAAGCTTGCAAGTTATATGCCAATTTGAAAACACTAAATTTGCTGCCAGCAGAAATTGAATATAGTACTTTAAGTGAAATATCGCGTTTTTACCATAAATTCAAAACTTCGTTTTTAAATCAAAATAGGGAATTTTATTTATATTTTTATATATATTTTTGTTTTTTATTTTATTTTCTTGTAGGTTTTATAAATATGTATGTATAAAACCTGCAACAAAAATTAACCCATGGTTCAAATGCTGCTGGACATTCAAGATGCCAGCTAGTAGATACTATCGTAGTAAAAATGGTTCCTATCTTACGGGATGGGATTCTGGTTAACAGAATTTGCAGTTTCACACAAATAAATGGGTCAAATGCTTCTGAAAATTCATGACGGAAAAATGCCCTTTTAAAACGTTTTAGTTTTCGAGATATCCCAGTTTTCAGAAAAATTTTGAAGTTGTCTCAATAAAAAAAGCTCCAAATACCTCAATTATATCATCTCATACAAAATAGCAATGTTACATCAAGTAGCAGATAGATGTGAACACCAGTTTGCCCGACGTCGAGTCATTCAACGGTATGATTTTTCTATATTTAAAAAAAATGTATTGCATAGCTCGGACGAAATTCTCCGACGGATAAAAGGAGCAAAAATTAATAATGAAAGTGAAACGTGCCGAAATATCGTCGTTTTCTTAACCAATCTAAGTTATTACAAAGATGATGAGTACATTTTTCCAAACTAACCGCCTCCTTAGAGCAAAATTTACAGAGGCGAAGCTATGCATCGCAAACACTTGCAAGAACAAGACTAAAAAGCAGCTCTACCAAGTGAAATAAGAAACAGTAAAACTAAGCCTCCAATTAGCTAGAACACGTTTATTTGTAGGACTCGAATCTGCGATCTACTGCAATTACGAGATTTTGAGTCTCACGCACTACCCACTCAGCCACACAAGCTGAACAACCAACAAACACTATTCATGAATAAAGCAGCTACATATGCTAAACAATTGCCAAAACCATTCAGCAAAAGTAGCACCAAATAGACTCAATTTTGCAGGTAATAATTTGGAAGATAACAACTGAAGGCATCCACACTAAATTTGCATGTAACAAATCGCAAAGCATGAAGCCACATTATGTATAAATTATGCATTTCAAAAAATTGCGAGATAAATTGAGTTTAAAATTTCTGAAATCGAGTTTTCATTATTGTTATGTTGTTTCAAACAAATCACTTTTTCCGGTTTATTTGATGAATTAAAAATGCATCAACTGTGTTAACTTGTTATTATTCGAATGTCAAAGCACATGTATTAAAAACTGTACAGGTGCCCCAAAAGTGGCACCAAAATTTGCGACTTAGGTTGGGAGAAAAAGAAGGTCCGTACTAAGAAGCTTCGCAAGTGTAAAAATAATTTCGTTTCTGGCAAGGGTTAAAAACTGTTAGATTTCAACGTTTTCTTCCATTCATAGCATCTCCACTTCATTATCACAATTCAATTTCTTCATTCATGCAACGCAGAAATATTTGTGCTTTAGAAATTCGATAATTACAAAGAGTTAAGGCCGAATTGTACAACAAGCATTAAAATAATAGACATCAATTTATAGAACAAACGGTTCAACATTTATCTCAAGCACCGAGCAAGGATAAATAAGGTCGAAATTTTTCAGTACACTCGGGTGAATCACTCCTACCATTCCTAACGTATGGGTCGATTTCTTCTCTTCGCTTCCATCTGGACTCCAACTACATACAACCTCTGCGCATCGACCAGGGAAAAACAATGTGTCATCCGCTTCTTTGATGACATAATCTCCATTTTTGACCTCTAGAAGTTGCATTACTCTGTCCAATAGTCCGTGGATGACTTCGAAACCACTAGTTTTGCCGTAGAATATAGCAGCCAGTCTTCGTTCGTTTCTGGCACCGACGTCTTTCGTGGAGTCCAGCAGTACGACGTCTGAGAGTTCGAACAGTTTGAGAGGAAGCGGCATTTTGCGGTTGCTCGAAACTGTTTTCAGCAGACCGGGGATCAAAGATGTACGCACAACCTACAAAAATAACAACACTAAAATAGAACAGACATTTTATAACCTCGGCGTAGAACCCAATGGCGTATCTAAAACTATAAATACTCCAAAACAGCGACAGGACACTTTACTGCTCAGCCAAAATAATTAAATCCGAACAACTACCAGCATAACATTGCCAAAAGTAGCTATAAAAACTAGTAAAGAATTATGACCATGAGAAAACTGGTTGGAAACTTTCCAATGTCGTTCGAATCACGACTGTAACGGCTTTGATCAGAAAAATCACTCGAACCATTCCAATGATTATTTCTGGCACCTGATTTTGCGTGAAAAAAAAAAAAACAAACAAAAAGACCCAAAGACAAAGTTCCTCTTCAATTTCATTCGTCGGAACAATAAGTTAAAAACGTTTTTAAGCATAGGCGAATCATTTAGAGCTTGATTCAGACCGAAAGTTTGATTTAAAACTTGCCTGGAATTCAAGAGTGGCTGGGTTTGAGATATGGACCGCATTCTCAATGGCCTTGTCCACATCCTCTTTACAAATACTGGAGGAGATGTCTGCGCGTGAACAGAGTGAGAACGTGAACACTTCGGTGTAGCCAGCCATGGCCACATTCTCCTTCAACTTGTCACTCAGTTTGTTCACGGGTAGCTGATGGGCTACTGTGTTGGTAGACGGAAACACCTGAATACATTTGGTAGGTCATTGGCAAAAATCTCAATAGAAACACAAGCAAAAAAAAGCAAACATCAGCACGACGTCAAATATCATTGGCACAGTTAGCATAAATTTCCTGGCGTGTTAAAAATTCTAAGAGCACAAAATTGAAGTTCGACGTTCTTTCTTTTCTGAAGAAAAGAAAGAAACAAAAAGATAACGTTTTAATTCATATAGTTAATTTGATGATGTTCAAAAAAACTATTCAATTTCAAAGAGTACTTTATTACACAAGTGAACCAGAAGTTATGCCAATTTTCAAAACAGATGCGAAGCGGAGAATAAAATTCGTTTCGTTACCTTGTCTTTTGTTCTTCCCATTGCGATTAGCAAGGGTATTGCAACCGGGTACTAGACTTTTCCATTTCAAAAATTTTGTTATCAGGACTCATATTAACTCATCTCCTGCTAGTACCTTAGTTAGCAATGAATTCAAATTTCTTAGCGTCTCCGGCACGCTTTAGTGTGCCGGAGACGCTAAGAAATTTGAATTCATTGCTAACTAAGGTACTAGCAGGAGATGAGTTAATATGAGTCCTGATAACAAAATTTTTGAAATGGAAAAGTCTAGTACCCGGTTGCAATACCCTTGCTAATCGCAATGGGAAGAACAAAAGACAAGAAAAACTGCGACAATATTTACAAAAATATTGAATATTAAAAAAAACTACTTAAAAAAAATCACACATTGTCAAAGCGAGCTTCGCAACACTCGCGATACAACACAAACTTAGCATTGTAAGCTAGAAGAAAAAAAAATCAGACCGAAGTTTCCCAGTCGATTTTTTTCAAAATCGAAAAAAAACTACCTTTAAAAAACTTCACGCACTTGTCTTGAATGTCATCCAATTTGAAGCAAATATGTCAAGAAAGACAATCATCACGGACATTACTTGGCTAGAACCCACTTAAGCCGAAAACAAAATGAAAAAAGATCAGAGCTGTAATTCGCAGTTTTAGGCACCATTCGTACTGAAACACAATAAAAAAGTTTGTTTCCCTTCAATTGACGCCAAATGGGGAAATTAGTCTATTAAGCAGAAGTCAAACCAATTTATGCACAACTCAGAAACGGTAACCTTACAAATAGCAGAACTACTATCAATTATAGTTAAGAATTACTGAAACCAGATGAAAATGATTCTTCGAAAAAAGTTCAATCTTTGGAAATTAAGACAACAACAAAAAAGTTTGTCAAACGATAGTCCGCCAATTCATGAGTTTCCAAAAAAATAAATTAATTTCCACACAACTGAAAAAACAGAACTCAAGTTTCAAATGGGACTCAAACTCTAGACCTTATGTTCCCAAAGCGCTGGCTCTACCTCTAGATCAAGTGAGAAGCGGCCGAACATGTGTCGAGGTTGCATTACAAAGCAAGGTCAAAATTTTTCAGATTAGTAAGAAAAGTTGTTTATGCGAAAAAGTCTAGTTCTGGATTACAAGCACACTTACTCTCGCAAGTGAAAAAAAGCATATTCTAAAAAAAACAAGGAAAACCAATTGCTAAAAAAGTACCACAGAAAGTTTCCACAACAGTTATCATTAATAATGAAGTTAAAAATATATATATATTCCTACTAAACCTAATTGAGAAAACTGAATCAATTGATAATTTCGTCATTCTGAAAAACAAATTTATAAAAAATTTGTTTTTCGCGCGATTTGAAATTTTGCTTACCAAACCAATTTGAACTAAAAAAAGTGAATTCGAAAAGATGGAACCACGAAAAATGAAAATTGAGCGCGAACGAATTTCCTTGAAAATCAATGAAAAATTATTACGGCCCTTCACTACGTTAATTGGTACTCAAAAACGGTCCAACACAATCTGTTAACCTTTTGATACCTTACTTTTGCATTAAATCGAAACTAACATAATCAAACAAGGAAAATGTTCTTTTTGCAACAAATGAAGACTGACCGGTCTCGAAACATTGATATTTTTCGTTGTAAGCATGGGCATAACCTGTGTCTCAAATATTTAGAATTAGTTTTTAGAACTCGTTTTTTGAAAATTCTCAACTTTCGAATTTCAAAGAAAAAACAGATGCCATTAAATCTATTTTTCTTTGAACTTTTGAAACTTATGATTGGCCTTTTTTGATAAAAACTTTTTTTGAGAAAACTGGATCAATAAGTTATATTTTTATTTCGCTGGGAAACCTAATAATAAATTCCATTTTCGAAACTAGAAGTTAATCATGTTTTTGTGACTCTTCCATTTTCGCTGTTTCCAACTGATTTTCCGAAATAAAATAACCAACTGAATTAGCGAGACAATTTTTTCAAAATTTAATTTATTTAAAACCAGAGATTATGCAGCAGCTTCACTAAACCTTCAGATCAAAAACTGGAAGTTCTCACCTTTTCAACATTGTTGTATCCGAATGCAATGGCGATGTCCTCATAGATATCACACGCATGCAACACATCCGCCCTGGTCGGAGGAATCGTGACTTTAATGGCATCTCCATTACTTTGCAGTTCTGCACTCAGGCACATTTTGGTCAACAAGTTTGCCATCTCGTTGACCGGAATATTGACCCCTATTTTCTTATTAGCCATACTTCCGCTAACTACTTCTGTGCGATAATTCAATTGAGGCAGACTCTTTGTTTCGCCTGTCGTTTCATATACCACGTTCACTGGCTCGACAGTGAACTGAGCCGAACAGTACTGGCTGAACAATGTGACAATAGTGTTAAGTACAATTTTGGCTTTGGTTTCATCAGTAGCTGTGCATTCGATGAAAATATTTTTGGTGTTTGCACTCATTTTGCTGTGATCACCATTAATTATAGGCGGCATTGAGCATACTATTCCCTGTGAATCATAAATGACAGGGTACAAAGGTTCGTTCTCGAGAATTTTCAGGTATCCTCTCAAAGCCAAATCGGATTTGTAGTGCTCCATTAGCTCTTCAGCGTCGAACTCCTTTTTCTGGTTGAGCGGTTTAAACTTGATTTCTTTCGGAGGCAGAGCTTTGTACACAAAAGGAGGTTTAATAGTGTCTAAGTCATGCGTTCCGATCGCCACAAGCGTTCTTCGTCTTCCCAAATTTAGATGAAGTTTGTCCTGAAGATCAATGAAACTAGCCAACGCCCCGGAACTCAACGTCACATCTCTCAAAACAGCCGCTACGCAAATCGGCCTTACATCTTTAGTACTGGACTCCACGGTCAATGTAATTCTACCATTCTCTGGTTCTACAACTTTGTAAATTGGACTCTCTGAAAGTTGTGCGGTGTATACTTTCAGTGCTCTCAACAGTCCCTCAGAACTCAGAAGATCGTATCGATTTGCAGGAAGTTCGACTCTGTAAGTGACTCTATCGGTTCCAGGCTCCACTTCCACTTCGTCTAACTCGAGGCCGTAGTCGAACAGAAGGTCACCGAAAGGCTCTTCTTCACATAACTTTTCGCCCAGTTCCTTCAGCACTGTTTCTTTTCCAACTGAGATGATAGGCATGATATTCACATACAAAATCTGAAACAAACCATTGATGTGGTTCCAAAATACTGCTAAGACACTTGTCTAAAACTTTAAAAGAGATGTTCTAGATCCATTAACATACGACAAAAAACATCAGAAAAAAAACAAGTTTAACTTAGAAAAAACAATATAAAGCAAACAGATCACTGGTATAATCAAAAGTGGTTTATTTCTTTTTCACGAGAGTTTGATATGCAAAGACGTTTTTCACGACTCCAGAGGTTTAGCATACCAAAATCTAGCTCGGTAATCATCACCACATGTCATCATTCCGGCGTGAACAGGTGAATGCGCAATGAATCTTACAGACCTCGAATGGACTAGCGGAAGCAGCCTCATCCGTTCTCCATTCCTCGAAGACCAGCAACACAAACTAGTGGCTCCTTCATCTGGGAAAAAGACGTAGTCCTCTGTATGGTTGAACACCGCAGGGACTCTTTTGGTCATCTTCTGAGATCCGGCTCCTGTGTATGTCAATATATCTCTAGAAGTTCCGATCTCCCAAAGTTTGACTAGGGAGTCTTTACCAGCAGTTAAAAGATATCTTGAATTTTTACTAAATCGAACGGAACAAATTGACTCTCCTCCATGCGCGCCGAGTATATTTTGAATACATCTGCTTGATACACCGTCCCAGATTTTGATATTTCCCGCTTTGTCTCCGCTCGCATATAATCTGCCATTGGGAGCGTAGTCGACAGCGTTTACGAATTTCGTGTGATGCTCTCGTGGATTCGCGGCCACAAAACACGAACCGTTTTCAAGATTATACATACGCAATACAGGATGACGACATGCTACTAAAAGCCACTCGCCTCCCGGGTGATAGCTAACATCTTTGATAGGTTCCACGTCTTCCAAAGTTCTCACTGCTTTTTTACTCGCAGTTTTTGAGTAATCATATACTTTTACCATCTTATCCTTCGCCCCTGAAGCCATAAAGGTATCGAATGGATGGAACTTGATACAGGTGATTTCATTCACGTGATCGTAGTAAGTTTTGATGACCGGATGTTGATCTGCTGACTCATTGGCGGCGTCTGAAGTTCCTTTGATCAGCATTTTGTCAACGTCCAGAAGCTTGATGGAAGCATCAACTGATCCCGTAGCGACATACTGACCGTCGTAACTGAATCCTGTAGTCTTGCAGGGATCTTTGTGACTTGTGACATACACAGTGTCGTAATTTACAGCTTCAGGAGTCATGATGAGAACATCACTTTCGTACTCCAGATCGATTCCACTAGATGCGGTTGGCGCCACCGTCCCACCAGGCGCCAACACCACATGGCTTATTTGCGTCTGCTTCTCCTGCAAAAGAAAGCAATTTAAAAAACACATCTTTAACCAGGCTCAAAATTCTTAGATTCGTTTGTCGTGTGGTTTTTTCCTCGGGTTTCACGAGAGTCGGAAAATCCAAACTGGCTGATATTAAGGTTTCGAATTAGTCGAAATACCCATTTCGATAAACCTGCATATGTTAAATTTCGATCAATATTGACTGCCGTATAGACAAAAACTTCGGTCGAAAATCTTCATTTCAAAAATAGCTCATTATTAAATACTCCTTTATTTTCATTTAAAATTAGCAAACAAACCTGTTCTGCTTTCTCTGCAGATTCGGCATGGAGTCCTTTTTGGAACACACTGAGAAGTCTCCCGGATGGAGGGCATTCTGGATTTGGCATTATGACTTGAATGAGAGAAAGGGCCTGGTCATGATGACCATCGTACAAAAGCTGACTTATTATACATCTGTAGAGTTCATCTTTGTCTTTCAAAGCAGATCTGTTTGCAACTCCCGACATTATTTTTACAAATCTGAAATTTACCAATTTATATTCTATAGTCTAATTCTATGATAATCACTACTGGTTCAGATTATGAGAAAGAAATCAAGAATTCGGATTGAATTAGATTTAGAAATGGCAATTTAAATTGATTTTAGTAATTATTTACAATTTGTTCAACTAATCTTTCGCAATAAACTTTACAATTTAGACAAATTGGGCATCTATATTTTGTACAATTTAGACACTGTTTTTAATATACAGATTTTTACAGGCGATAGAAAGGTAAAACGGAACCTTCATTTTTTCACAAATCGGATTTTCCGAGAGAGTTCAGGTAGATGGATTCTGTGAGTTGTAGCTTGGAGGCTGAAATAAAAGCATAGATTTAAAACTGATCAAAAAATGTTAACAAAATATCCTTAAAACTCAATCCTGCAAATAAGCTTTCAAATGATTCGCACCACCGACAAAAAGTAGCTTATTTCATTCACATGAAATAATCGGTATATCGTATATCGTCTTGAGGGCTCGTATATCGATTAATGGCTATGAACAAATTTGAAAATAGCTATTTGAGGTGAATTATTTAACTCATGTTCTTACCACAGATGTGATGTTTCTGGTTCTGACTTCCACCTTCGGAGTAGAAGAATCCCCCACTCCCCCGTCCGTCATATCCATATTCTGGTACCTGGCCAGCAGTTCGCTCACATTGCTTTCATCTGGCATGACCTGGATCTGTCTTACAGTCTGCCGGGGCCTCTGGATAGTGGAGGTGTCTTCCCCTCGATTTGACCTTTTAGGCCTTAGAGACGAAGATGGCTCCCCAGCAGTTGTCAAACCCTCCTTGGACCTGAAAAACACAATTTAACTTCTGGACTTCTAAAGGTTATCAACAGATTATAAAATCAAGTTTTGGGTAGTATAATATCGTATAATATAATAATAATTTAGTTACTTTTGAATACCAAACAAAGCCAACATACAGTTGGAAAAGAGTCAATAAACGCAAGATAACAGAAAAAAATGCTGACTTGTTTTTTGAAACAATCTCAAATTTCGAATTTCAAAGAAAACCAAAGATGGCTTTGAAGTATTTTGAATTTCAAAAACACTCTATGATCGACACTTTTTTGCTAAAATTATTTGAATTTCAGAAAAAGTAACCCGATAGGTAAGTTTTTTTATTTCGCTGGGCAATCTGAAAAAAAAATTTCACTTTCGAAACTAGAATTCAATCACATTTTTTCTTGACTACGCTTTCGTTGTTCGATAGTGGAGTTTGCTTTTCTTTTAACAAAGGAAATTAACTGAATTTAAAAAGAAATCATACGTTAAACCGCGAAAAAGTAAAGTTGAGCCTGAACAAATTTTAGGACTTATCCTTAAAAAAACTAAAAAATCATCGCGACCTATATACTACGTTCATCGACTCTTAAAACTAAAAGTGCTAGCACAAAAAATGAGTCAGATTTTGGTCAAAAATCGTGATTAACAAAAATTTCCGCAAAACAAAATTACAGCAAAAAATTTTTTGATTAACTTTTTTTGCTTAAACCCTTGGACTAAAATAGCGCCACAATGAAAAACATCTGAGGCCTCGATACAAAAATCAGCTTCGAATAGTCAAAAAATGAGACGAAAAAAAGACAAAATCAACAAAAAAAACTATTGATTCTAATTAATTACAAGCTGCTCCATTTGATCCCAAAACGTGAACAGACTGTTGAAAAAGAGTCATGAACGCAAGGAAATAGAAAATTGTTTTTTGAAAAAACTTCAACTTTTGAAATTTAAAGAAAAAGCAAAGGGCCTTGAACCTCTTTAAATTTCAAGAAAAATTTAAGATTGACGTTTTTTTTTATAAAACTAACCTAATTTGAGAAAACTGGATCAATGGCTAATTTTTCATTCCGCTGGGAAATCTGAAAATTAAAAACCACTTTCAAAACAAGAAGTCGATCATGTTTTTTGTGACCTTGACGTTTTGCCTCTCGTTAGGGTGGCTTCCTTTCACTTTACACAGAGTCGAAGCTGTAACTTCGCAAACGTGAAAACATAGCCAATCGAAGATTGGAAAAGAGTAATGAACGCAAGTAAACATTAAAAAAAAATCTCAACTTTCGAACTGCGAAGAAGACAATAGCTGCCCTTTAAGCTCTTTGAAGTTCTAGAACAATTTATGAGTGGCAATTTGTTGATAACATTAACTCAAGTTGAGAAAACTGGATCAACAGGTAAAGTTTTTATTCCGCTGAAAATCTATAAAATAAATTCCACTTACGAAACTAGAAATCGTTCACATTTTTTCGCGCCACTTCCACGTTCGGATTTGGAGAGTGCTATTTACGTCACCTTCAGCAGATGAATTTCAATTGATCTCAAAAAGTGCATATATACCTAAGGGCATTCATAAGTGCATCAATATGTATGAATGCCCATCTAAAGTTATCAAAAAATTTTCAGACTTTTACCTGAAAAAAAAAACAAAAAAAATCAGCAAGACCTATATAAGAGTCGTCATTGCGTTCATTACTCTTACAAAAGGCAAAAAATCGTGATAAACAAAATTTTCCGCAAAACAAAATTACAGCAAAAAATTTTTTGATTAACTTTTTTTGCTTAAACCCTTGGACTAAAATAGCGCCACAATGAAAAACATCTGAGGCCTCGATACAAAAATCAGCTTCGAATAGTCAAAAAATGAGACGAAAAAAAGACAAAATCAACCAAAAAACTATTGATTCTAATTAATTACAAGCTGCTCCATTTGATCCCAAAACGTGAACAGAAGACTGTTGAAAAAGAGTCATGAACGCAAGGAAATAGAAAATTGTTTTTTGAAAAAACTTCAACTTTTGAAATTTAAAGAAAAAGCAAAGGGCCTTGAACCTCTTTAAATTTCAAGAAAAATTTAAGATTGACGTTTTTTTTTATAAAACTAACCTAATTTGAGAAAACTGGATCAATGCCTAATTTTTCATTCCGCTGGGAAATCTGAAAATTAAAAACCACTTTCAAAACTAGAAGTCGATCATGTTTTTTGTGACCTTGACGTTTTGCCTCTCGTTAGGGTGGCTTCCTTTCACTTTACACAGAGTCGAAGCTGTAACTTCGCAAACGTGAAAACATAGCCAATCGAAGATTGGAAAAGAGTAATGAACGCAAGTAAACATTAAAAAAAATCTCAACTTTCGAACTGCGAAGAAGACAATAGCTGCCCTTTAAGCTCTTTGAAGTTCTAGAACAATTTATGAGTGGCAATTTGTTGATAACAATAACTCAAGTTGAGAAAACTGGATCAACAGGTAAAGTTTTTATTCCGCTGAAAATCTATAAAATAAATTCCACTTACGAAACTAGAAATCGTTCACATTTTTTCGCGCCACTTCCACGTTCGGATTTGGAGAGTGCTATTTACGTCACCTTCAGCAGATGAATTTCAATTGAACTCAAAAAGTGCATATATACCTAAGGGCATTCATAAGTGCATCAATATGTATGAATGCCCATCTAAAGTTATCAAAAAATTTTAAGACTTTTACCTGGAAAAAAAAACAAAAAAAATCAGCAAGACCTATATAAGAGTCTTCATTGCGTTCATTACTCTTACAAAAGGCAAAAAATCGTGATTAACAAAATTTTCCGCAAAACAAAATTACAGCAAAAAATTTTTTGATTAACTTTTTTTGCTTAAACCCTTGGACTAAAATAGCGCCACAATGAAAAACATCTGAGGCCTCGATACAAAAATCAGCTTCGAATAGTCAAAAAATGAGACGAAAAAAAGACAAAATCAACCAAAAAAACTATTGATTCTAATTAATTACAAGCTGCTCCATTTGATCCCAAAACGTGAACAGAAGACTGTTGAAAAAGAGTCATGAACGCAAGGAAATAGAAAATTGTTTTTTGAAAAAACTTCAACTTTTGAAATTTAAAGAAAAAGCAAAGGGCCTTGAACCTCTTTAAATTTCAAGAAAAATTTAAGATTGACGTTTTTTTTTATAAAACTAACCTAATTTGAGAAAACTGGATCAATGGCTAATTTTTCATTCCGCTGGGAAATCTGAAAATTAAAAACCACTTTCAAAACTAGAAGTCGATCATGTTTTTTGTGACCTTGACGTTTTGCTTCTCGTTAGGGTGGCTTCCTTTCACTTTACACAGAGTCGAAGCTGTAACTTCGCAAACGTGAAAACATAGCCAATCGAAGATTGGAAAAGAGTAATGAACGCAAGTAAACATTTAAAAAAATCTCAACTTTCGAACTGCGAAGAAGACAATAGCTGCCCTTTAAGCTCTTTGAAGTTCTAGAACAATTTATGAGTGGCAATTTGTTGATAACATTAACTCAAGTTGAGAAAACTGGATCAACAGGTAAGTTTTTATTCCGCTGAAAATCTATAAAATAAATTCCACTTACGAAACTAGAAATCGTTCACATTTTTTCGCGCCACTTCCACGTTCGGCTTTGGAGAGTGCTATTTACGTCACCTTCAGCAGATGAATTTCAATTGAACTCAAAAAGTGCATATATACCTAAGGGCATTCATAAGTGCATCAATATGTATGAATGCCCATCTAAAGTTATCAAAAAATTTTAAGACTTTTACCTGGAAAAAAAACAAAAAAAATCAGCAAGACCTATATAAGAGTCTTCATTGCGTTCATTACTCTTACAAAAGGCAAAAAGCTATAAAGACGTCAAAATAAAACATTGAAGAAAAAAAGGTAAGAAAAGATAAAACTAAGAAAAAATTTCTTTATGCCCAATTCGAACCCCGGCCTGAAGATTGAGAATCACACATCCTAGCATCTGCACCATGGGCGCTTAACAATCTTGAATCAATTTATTTGCGAATTGGGTTGGAAGTGTATATTATAAAATGACAATATGCTTCGCTTATGTTAAATGAACTGAGCTTAAAACATTCAGCTCTTTTCCACTCGACCCACCGTTCAAATTTTCTTCTTTTTTATAATTGTTTTACGTGCGATTATAGCTTAACGACTAAAATTGCGCTGTACAATATGAAGAACCAATCGGTTCACAACTGAATTTTTTCGCCCTGCCAAGTTTCATTGCATTATTAAAACGTTTAAATTTTCCTGTATGAAAAACCTTAGAAACTATACTCTTAAAAACCAGTTCATAGAGTTTTCTAAGGCCAAAATAATGGAAGTTCGGCAAATCGAGATTTTTCTGTATTATTAGAGACACGCTAAAAATTCGCTCATTGGCATTGTACTTTAAGACGGACTTCGGATCTTACATGTAGAGTGGCGGTTCCTCGTGCAGGGGCAGGTCACTTTCTTCTCCACTTTCTCCTGATTTGTCGTAAAATCTACACAAATAACATTACAAATTTTGACGCGCCAAAGTAACCACTCTTTTTCTGTCCAAAACTTTTCCAAGATTGCTCTACAAACGCCATTCTTAGTTCGTGCCTTCATTACTGTCTGCGGCGCAAAAACGTTTTGTATTGTTTTTAGCACGCTCGTTTTTTTTTAGAAATTCAAATTGCTAAACGCTGAATCAAGGCATTTAATTTTTAACAGCGAAGCAGTGTATTGACGAATAACGAAACAATCGCATAACTTATAATCGTATAATCCGACTGGCATATAACGTATAAATTAATATTTTGGCTTTCGTATGAAAAACGTACAATCGTGTAACTTGAGATCAAAATCATAACTATATTACAGCAAGCGAGCAAGGTTTTTTAGATTGTTTTTGTTGCTCGATTATATTTCTTATCGTGAAATCTCTGATTGCTATTAAAAAAAACATCATATTGGACCTCAGCCGACCCTAATATCAATCAATCTTACCGCATGCAATGAAAAATTCCTTGTATCACAAAAAAGAGCCGCCAAATATCGGTATCGTATAACCGTATAAATTATCGGATACAGCTGATTTCGCGTATAATCGTACAATCTTATATCGTATAAGGTTTTTTCGTATAACTTGTCCTATATCGTATAACGTGTACAAAATACTGCTGTGAAGCAACAATTATTTTCTCTTACTCTCTGGAAGACATTTCATCTTCATCTTCCTCCACCTCTGCCAGTTTACGGGAGGATGGAGAGATTAAATTGGTCTTTGAGATATTCGATCTGCTCAGCTTGTCCGTTCTTCTAGTGCCAGACACCGTCCTTTCTGGTTCCCGCTTTCTTCCAGATTTATTCGAGTCATCCGCATCGGAAGACCCATCTCTCTTGGAACCTTAAAGTTCAACGAAGCAGATCACAAAATTATTTCTACTTGCTTTGCTATAACAGTACAAGATCAAAGAAAAAAATGAGAAATTATAGCAAACAGACAGCGAACTCAAATTTTCTACTTCCAGGTTTTAAAGGAAATAAAGGAGCTTTTTACTTTCCAAAAACCTTTTAGCTCTTTCGAATTCAAGAAAATTTTATGGTTGACACTTTACTGATGAAAAACAACTTGATTTAAGATAAAATTTATTGAAAAGAAACTTTGCATTCCTCTAGGTAATCTAAAAACTCAAATCCACTTTTGAACTTATACGTCATCCCCACTTTTAAGCCTTTTGCAATTTTGCTACCCGAGAGCATAATTTGCTTCTCATTTAGCAAATCAGATTGAATTGAAGTCAATAAGAATTCAAAGTTCAAACCGCGAAAACTAAATTTGACCTATAAATATTAAAACAAAAAAAACAAGACCTAACTAAGTTTTGTCACTTCGTTCATCGACAATTAATAATTTTGAAGTCGCTAATAGATAAAGAAACAAACTCTTGCCTAGAAGCGGAGTGATCAGAAGGAACTCTTTTCAGCAATGTCTGTTTAAAATTTGTGTTTCTTCTAACCCAATTGAAACTGCAATTACTTACTTGCTCTCTTGCTATAACGTCCACTATTCTGTTCTTCCGACGCTGCAACACTTGGATTCCTCCTTTCCATCTTCATTCCTGCTCCTCCGCGGCCACCGGACACTCCTGTCGATGTCATCATTACCAGAATCTGCCTCAACTCAGCGACTTCTTTCCTCAACTGGGAGATTTCTTTCTTCACTTTCTTCCCGTCTCCCTTCATCGATGCTTGGACTGTGTCGCAGAGAAGTTTCAAGTCTTGAGGAAGCTCGCCGTCTGATATACCGATGTCTCGCTCCCTTCGCTCGTCTTCAGCTTTTTCCAAATACTCGTCCATTTTTTCCTTGAACATATTTTTCCTTTTATATATATCTTTTTGCATTTGGCAATGAAATAAAAATTTAGCATCAAAATTGATATCATTTTTTTTGGCAGTAATAGAAAAGTTTAGCAAGTGTCGAGTTAGCGTTGCGGCGTTCACACTGGTTTAGGCACCTCTCTGTCCGAGAATCGAACTGGCCACTAGTGAATCAGAGTTGCTTTAGGCTCAAATCAGTTAGCCACTAAGCCACGGCTCACTTACTTGCAAAATAACAGCACGAATATTATACCAACTGACACTTCGGTTGGTTAGTATTACAAACAGAGCTAAGATTTGAACGTCACCCAATTCATTTATAAACTTTCTAGCAACTTTGCATGACGAAAATATCCGTCTCACTTAATGACGTCAATGACTAACAATAGCAGTAAGACGGATAACATCAATTGAAGCGAAAAAAATGACTACCACATAGTATTCAATCAAGTGAACTGTGGCTACTGTACTGAGACTAGGCATAACTCCACTTCGCTATAAAGACCTAAGTATCCTTAAGAAAAATGATTGAGGAAAGAAACTGATAACTATGATTGATAGTTTTTATTACCCCTCCTCATCCAACCTACAAACAGCGTGGAAATATCTATCAGGTTTATCACACAAACATGGACCTCTTAGAGATGCCGAGGGGCGGTTTAGGGGGTTGATATTAGGTTCTTTAGTGCGTGTTGGGATACTTCGGAAACAGAATGTCTAAATGATGTTAGATTATACCTTGATCTGAATGGTGACTTTCTTCAGGTCATCCTCCGACTCCTCCCAGTCGTCATCGTAGTACTCCTTGAGGGGGGAGCAGTAGGAATGGATGTAGTCTCTGAACTCATTCAGCTGTGTGTCTCTCAGCCCCTCCTCCTCCGACTGGATAAAGTTAGCTTGCTGTAGAAGCGCATTCGCTATCGCATTATCATACACCCTAAACAAACACTACATGAAAAACACCCTTCGTTTACATATGCCGGGACAACGATTCTGATCACGCCGATTCGCTGCCAACCACGTTACCAAAATTCTATTAATCGAAGCCGAATTTCCAATGGTCCACAACAGATAAAACTCTTGGACAAGCTAATGATTCGAAGACCTCTATGAAGTTTGACAGATGTAGTAGAGAAAATAACGATGCTTAATACTTATAGAGATGCTTAATATCGATACTTATTTTTTAAAGAAGAATACTTTTAATCGCTCTAAAATGCTCGGGAGATTCCGGAGTATGTTGACATTAAATTATACATCGTGCACTGGAGATAGAAAATCTTGGCAAGCTTGTAAGCTTTCTGCACAGTATCCATGGGTGATTAAATATTTAATAATTTGGTGACAATTCAAAGAAAGATAGCTGGTTGTTGTGCAAGTAGCACAGAATGTTCCGACCATATTCTTAAAAAAAAATTTTTAAATGTTTTTTTTTCTAAAACTAATTGATTTTTTCTGTGCGTGGTGTGATGCAAAGATCTGAACAAAAAATTTAGAAAATTCCGAAAAATATAGTAAAATAGGCATGTTGTAACACAATTTTATTTTAAAATTCCTATTAAAAAAAATTTGAAAATAGGCCTGCTCGCTCGGAAATACACGGAAAAACAAAAACTTCAAACGGGTTTTTCTCGTCACTGGGAAAACTTTTTGAAAACTTTGTAAGGTCGTTCGAATCACGATTGAAACGACTTAATTTATATATCACTCAACCAAGTCTGATGACTATTTGTGGCACTTGATTTTTTATGGAAAACAACAAGAAAAAGCTAAGCAAGGAGAGCCGGTTACTAGGCAAGTAGCACAGAATGTTCCGAAAATAGTCTTAAAAAAACAATAAAAAAGTTTCTTCAAATTATTGACACTTTTCGCGGCGTGGTGTGATAAAAAAAGCAGAAAAAAAAACTGAGTATTAGATTTATTCAACAATCATCATAAAATAAGCAAATTGAAAAAAAATTCTTGCAGAAAAATCACTAGAAAAGCGAAAAACAAATCAAAAAAAAATTCGGAAAATTTCGGAAGTTTTGCAGTTTTTTGAATTTTTGAAAAATTTTATTCCGAAAATGCTCTGAAAAACTATAGTCACTCGAGTAAAATTAGGTTTTTACGTTTCAAATTTAGCTATTATAAGCTTTTCAGCCATTAAAATATAAATGCTCGCTCGCTTTATTCGCTCGAAATTAGACCAAAAATAAAAAACTTTAGACCGGTTTTTCTCGACATCAAGAAAAAATTATTAGAAAAAGAATTGGGAATCACGACTGTAAGGACTTTACACAGAGGCGAAGTTGCACTTCGCATACAAGCAAAATTTGACCTATAACGCTATGGGGGAAAAACTGAAAGAGTAAAACTTTGAATCTATAAAAAGTCTTAAGTATCGCACGCCAATTATGACTCTACATAATTGCTAATAGGCGCAAGACAATTATGACGCATTAGCAGTACCAGTCAGTTGAAAAAAAAGAGAAATTTACCAACTAACATGCCTCAATTTATAGAGCGGACGCATTTTAACTAATATACGAAAAAGTTCATTGAAAACATGGGACCCTGCCCAGGATCGAACCCTTTTATTTTATTGCAGATCTCTTTCCCTACCTCTACGCTAAAGATCCATGATACCTTGAAGCTAAAAAGCTATTTGTAATATAATTGTCTGTGTTACTATCCTTAGCATTGGATGTACTTAATAGCTGTTTATTGGTCAAAACGAACACTTACAATGAACACATTTTGTCGCAACAATATTTGCGACTTAAGTAGGAAAAAAAGGAGTTCATACTATCCTACAAGCTTTGCTTGTGTAAATATGATAAACACAGAGGCTAAGTTGCACTTCGCATACACAAGCAAAAACATACCCGATAACGCTACTGGGAAAAACTGAATGAGTAAAACTACAAAATTTGTTTTATGACGCACGCCAATTATGACGCAGTAGCAGTACCAGTCAACTTGAAAAAAAAAATACCAAACAACATGCTTAAGTTTTTAGAGCAGTCTATTGAGCAGTAATAACATGAAAAAATCAGATGTAATAAAAATAAATTTTACACTGGGAAAACTTTTTGAAAACTTTGTAGGGTCGTTCGAATCACGATTGAAACAACTTTATTAATAAATCACTCAACCAGGTCTGATGACTATTTGTGGCACTTGATTTTTTATGGAAAACAACAAGAAAAAGCTAAGCAAGGAGAGCCGGTTACTAGGCAAGTAGCACAGAATGTTCCGAAAATAGTCTTAAAAAAACAATAAAAAAGTTTCTTCAAATTATTGACACTTTTCGCGGCGTGGTGTGATAAAAAAAGCAGAAAAAAAACTGAGTATTAGATTTATTCAACAATCATCATAAAATAAGCAAATTGAAAAAAAATTCTTGCAGAAAAATCACTAGAAAAGCGAAAAACAAATCAAAAAAAAATTCGGAAAATTTCGGAAGTTTTGCAGTTTTTTGAATTTTTGAAAAATTTTATTCCGAAAATGCTCTGAAAAACTATAGTCACTCGAGTAAAATTAGGTTTTTACGTTTCAAATTTAGCTATTATAAGCTTTTCAGCCATTAAAATATAAATGCTCGCTCGCTTTATTCGCTCGAAATTAGACCAAAAATAAAAAACTTTAGACCGGTTTTTCTCGACATCAAGAAAAAATTATTAGAAAAAGAATTGGGAATCACGACTGTAAGGACTTTACACAGAGGCGAAGTTGCACTTCGCATACAAGCAAAATTTGACCTATAACGCTATGGGGGAAAAACTGAAAGAGTAAAACTTTGAATCTATAAAAAGTCTTAAGTATCGCACGCCAATTATGACTCTACATAATTGCTAATAGGCGCAAGACAATTATGACGCATTAGCAGTACCAGTCAGTTGAAAAAAAAAGAGAAATTTACCAACTAACATGCCTCAATTTATAGAGCGGACGCATTTTAACTAATATACGAAAAAGTTCATTGAAAACATGGGACCCTGCCCAGGATCGAACCCTTTTATTTTATTGCAGATCTCTTTCCCTACCTCTACGCTAAAGATCCATGATACCTTGAAGCTAAAAAGCTATTTGTAATATAATTGTCTGTGTTACTATCCTTAGCATTGGATGTACTTAATAGCTGTTTATTGGTCAAAACGAACACTTACAATGAACACATTTTGTCGCAACAATATTTGCGACTTAAGTAGGAAAAAAAGGAGTTCATACTATCCTACAAGCTTTGCTTGTGTAAATATGATAAACACAGAGGCTAAGTTGCACTTCGCATACACAAGCAAAAACATACCCGATAACGCTACTGGGAAAAACTGAATGAGTAAAACTACAAAATTTGTTTTATGACGCACGCCAATTATGACGCAGTAGCAGTACCAGTCAACTTGAAAAAAAAAATACCAAACAACATGCTTAAGTTTTTAGAGCAGTCTATTGAGCAGTAATAACATGAAAAAATCAGATGTAATAAAAATAAATTTTACACTGGGAAAACTTTTTGAAAACTTTGTAGGGTCGTTCGAATCACGATTGAAACAACTTTATTAATAAATCACTCAACCAGGTCTGATGACTATTTGTGGCGCTTGATTTTTCATGGAAAACAAAAACAAAAAGCTAAACAAGGAAAGCCGGTTACTAGGCAAGTAGCACAGAATGTTCCGAAAATAGTCTAAAAAAATACAATTAAAAAATTTCTTCAAATTATTGACACTTTTCGCGGCGTGGTGTGATAAAAAGGGCAAAAAAACTTAGGATTAGATTTATTCAACAATCATCATAAAATAAGCAAATTGAAAAAAATTCTTGCCGAAAAATCACTAAAAAAGCGACAAACAAATTAAAAAAAATCGAAAATTTCGGAAGTTTTGCAGTTTTTTAAATTTTTGAAATTTTCTATTCTAAAAATGCTCTGAAAAACTAAAGTCACTCGATTAAAATGAGGTTTTTACGTTTCAAATTTAGCTATTATAAGCTTTTCAGCCATTAAAATATAAAGGCTCGCTCGCTTTATTCGCTCGAAATTAGACCAAAAATCAAAAACTTTTGACCAGTTTTTCTAGACATCAAAAAAAATTATTAGAAAAAAAATTGGGAATAACGACTGTAAGGACTTTACACAGAGGCGAAGTTGCACTTCGCATACAAGCAAAATTTGACCAATAACGCTGCAGGGAAAAACTGAAAGAGTAAAACTTTGAATCTATAAAAATTCTGAAGTAACGCACGCCAATTATGACGCTACATAATTGCCAATTGGCGCAAGCCAGTTAAGACGCATTAGCAGTACCAGTCAGTTGGAAAAAAAGAGAAATGTACCAACTAACATGCCTCAATTTATAGAGCGGACGCATTTTAACTAATATACGAAAAAGTTCATTGAAAACATCCGACCCTGCCAAGGATCGAACCCTTTTATTTTATTGCGGATCTCTTTCCCTAACTCTACGCTAAAGATCCATGATACCTTGAAGCTAAAAAGCTATTTGTAATATAATTGTCTGTGTTACTATCCTAAGCATTGGATTTACTTAATAGCTATTTATTGATCAAAACGAACACTTTTACAATGAACACATTTTGTCGCAATAATATTTGCGACTTAAGTAGGAAAAAAGAGAGTTCATACTATCCCACAAACTTTGCGTGTGTAAATATGATAAACACAGAGGCGAAGTTGCATTTCGCATACACAAGCAAAAATATGCCCGATAACGCTGCTGGGAAAAACTGAAAGAGTAAAACTTTGAACCCATAAAAATTCTTAAGGCACGCCAATAATGACTCTACATAATTGCCAATTGGCGCAAGCCAGTTAAGACGCATTAGCAGTACCAGTCAGTTGGAAAAAAAGAGAAATGTACCAACTAACATGCCTCAATTTATAGAGCGGACGCATTTTAACTAATATACGAAAAAGTTCATTGAAAACATCCGACCCTGCCAAGGATCGAACCCTTTTATTTTATTGCGGATCTCTTTCCCTAACTCTACTCTAGAGATCCATGATACCTTGAAGCTAAAAAGCTATTTGTAATATAATTGTCTGTGTTACTATCCTTAGCATTGGATGTACTTAATAGCTGTTTATTGGTCAAAACGAACATTTACAATGAACACATTTTGTCGCAACAATATTTGCGACTTAAGTAGGAAAAAAAGGAGTTCATACTATCCTACAAGCTTTGCTTGTGTAAATATGATAAACACAGAGGCGAAGTTGCACTTCACATACACAAGCAAAAATATGCACGATAACGCTACTGGGAAAAACTGAATGATTAAAACTACAATATTTCTTTGATGACGCACGCCAATTATGACGCAGTAGCAGTACCAGTCAATTTGAAAAAAAATTACCACCTAACATGCCAAAATTTTAAGAGCATGAAAAAATTAGATGTAATAAAAATAAAATGAATTTTTTTTTAATTTTAAGAGTTTTTTTGTGAAAATCATTACCCACACTCCAAATTAAGTAAAAAAAGTGATGATGTCGCTCCTAGTAACAAATCAGTTATGGCAAAGAAGCTTCCTCCAACCAATTTGGAACAATTTCTATGACGGATTAAATCTTCGCTTACGCGTTAATAGCGCGAAATATATCGCGCGTTAATTGTCCAAAATTGGCCAAAATGGCAATTTTTAAACCCCCATAACTTTACGAAAAAAAATCACAGATGAAATATCTTTCTAAATTTAAGCTCAGGACAACAATATTTTTTGAATGATATAAAAAAATCCCGTCAAAAATGGCTAGTTAAAAAGTCGAAATTTATCTGAAGAAAAAAAACCACCCCGAGAACAAATATTCCCCTACTTTCGTTACGAAAGTCGGAACAAAAATAGTCTGTGTGAATAACCTTTGCACTTGGTGTATTTAATAGCTGGTTATTGATCAAAATGAACACATTTTATTGCAACAATATTTGCGTCTTAGGTTGGAAAAAAAGATAGTTCATACTGTAACACAAGCATTGCTTGTGTAATCACTCAACCCAGTCCGATGATTACTTGTGGCACCTGATTTTGCGAAAAAAAAAGAAAAAACTAAAATACACCAGATGTTAAAATTCCTCCCCATTTGCAATGGTTGGAACAAAAAGCGCCTCAAAGTCGAGAATTTAAACTAAAAACCACAAATTTTTTGAGTTCATCTATTTTCTCAAGGTCACAGTCTAGATGAGCTTGTTCGCCCAATTCTGTGTCCGATTTGATGCATTTGTGTTCGACCAATGTCAGCGAGTTTTCTCAGACAACATTTAAACTCTAAGAACAGAACCACTTTATACACTCTCAGTCACCTCTGGAAGGTATCCGACATAAGAGCGATGAACAGGTTGAGCATGACAATTGCAGAGATAGCCAGGAAGCTTCCACAGAGTATCTGAGCCATCGCCAGGTTGTTGCTCGCCAGTCCGTCATAATTGTAGTCATCCACAAGGGTCATTCGGAAGAGAGAGTACATGACCAAGTTGAACGTCTCGTAGCCTTCGATATCGTTCTGACCGAAGATCATGTAGAAGGCCACGCCTGAACGAATAATTCAAAATAAAACAAAAGTCAGATGTTTGAGGCCCACCATCATCCGTTCTCGTTGCTTGAGGATGAGGCAACATTACGCAGCGCACAAAAAAAAACAAAAAAATGGCATGTTCTTAAGCAACGGTACAACAGCGGTTCCTCGTGGATGAATGGTCTTAAAAAACTGATGCGGCTAGTAGTTTATATATTGATAAGCGTTTTCATTCAAAGAACAATTCGTAACAACTAACGAAACACCCAATTGAAAAAACAGAAGACACTTAAAAAAACAATTGCCACCTTTGAGCTTCAAATTTGGTGTTAAGGATCATGCTCTCTTCCCCCCCCCCCCCACCCCCACCCCCGATTGCCATTTTTGGGGGGGGGGAGGGGGGAGGGGGAAGCCAAGGAATTTATGCAAAAGCATATATCAGCAATGAACTTCAATATCTATGTAATTTTTTCTTAAATTATTGCCTTGATTTCAACTTACAATATGGAATGTAGAATATGAGATAGACGAACAGCCATCTGAATATATCCTTGATCATGTACGTGCAGATAACTATAAACGGACCCACTTGTCTGAACGCCCTGAAATTCTTCATCAACCGCACCCAAATCAGAATAATAGCGACTGAAAAAGTGCCCCTCTGGACATCAGTTAAGGTGCTGTGGTGAAAGAGGATGTCAACGACGTGCATGATGAGTTGGATGAGGAGGATAAAGTACGTAACCCAGTCGAACCAGTTCCAGAGGTCGTAGAAGTAACTGGGCTCCTGGTCTTGCAGACTGTGAAGTTCCAAGCGCAGGTAGTTCTCTTCCTGGAGTAGAAAAATAATTACAAGATACTCCTGTCATGATGAAAACAGGATACACCTCAAAAATTAACCGAGACACTTTGTTTCTGGTTTGAAAACTTTTAATCCAGAGTATATTCTATTACGTGTCATCGTGAACATAAAAATCATTCTCTTAATATTTCTTAAATTTTTCAGAAGCAAATCGTTTTTGATATTTACTTTTTGCCAACTGGAGCAAAAGAGTCAAAACATGATTACGAAATTTACCTCTGGCCATCTCTGGTGCACGTATTTGAAGTCTTTTTCCAGCTGCTCTTTTCTCCATTTATACCAACGCTGAAACACCCACCAATCACATTACGCATTACTTAATAATCCTCGATCAGACATTTAGACAGACAAACAAGAAAATCATTAGAAATTTAGACAACAACTACCGAAAGAGCTGAAAACACAAGAAACTTTTCCGCCAATTTAAGAAAACCATGAGACAATTGGTGACAAGCGAAAATTCATAACAGTAGATAAGGCGGGTAACACTGATTCACGTGCAATATTCCTCTCGCGGAGGATGCAAGCGCAGCGGAGCAAGCGTATTCAACTTGTCAATGTCTTTTTACAAATTGTAGCCTGTTACGAATTGTCGCACTGCCCAAGAAAAGCACACTGAGCTAAGTTCAAAGAAAAACTATTCGCACATCTAAACTTACAGAGTGTTTCTTTCGAGATGTTTTCATTTCCCATATTTCGTAGATGAAACTGTACGCAGATATCGATAGGGTTATCAACTGCAGCAGTCAAATTAAGACAGTCAAGTTAATACAAAAGGGGATTGGTTAAATGGGAGAAATTCTCTACTAGGCACCAAATCAAAAACTCGCCCTTGCTTAACTCTTGAATTACTCTTTCATAGTTATTTAACTATGTAACATAGACAGGTTCAAATTTTACAACTATGTAAGTAGCATAGAGAGGTTCAAATCTTTGAACCCCTCATAGGGGGGGGGGGGGGGTTGTTCAAAGATAAGTTCAAATTTCAATGAGGTCCACCAGCAAAAGAACGGGTAAGTTGTTAGTTTCTTTTAAACACCTTGTTATAAAATTTAGTTCTCTTTGTTATAATTAGACTAGGTGAATACGTACGCTGAACTGCTTTTTAGAGTCGCGCAGTTCAAAAATTTCATTGACGAATTGATAGAGCCATAGAGTAACCGATACGCCCTGGAAAAGGTTGCGATTATTTGGTGGATAAACTTCACAATTGAAACCTACTATGGTACACTTTAATTTTTTTAAATGAAATGAGTCAGCCCCAGCCTACACATTTAAAACCCGATCACGGATGAAGTTCACATCCAACCCTTCGCCGATTTCCCATTTCGGGGGAGAATAACCTTGAGCCTCCTGTAACTGGCAAAAGATAATGCGTGACTAATGCGATTTCGTTAACTACACATGACATATTTGATTGTTGTTGTCAGCAACTTACTACCGACAGGGATCACTTGCAATTTAAAAAACGCACCCAACCTACAGTTGGAAAAAAGTCAACTAACGCAAGTAAACAAAAAAAATACTGACTTGTTTTTTGAAAAAATCTAAACTTTCGAAATTCGAAGAAAAACATAGATGGCCATGAGGCCCTTTGATTTTTAAGAACAATTTAAGATTGAAACGTTTTTGTTAAAAAATTTAATCAGAAGAAAATTGGATCGATCGGTAAAGTTTTTATTTCGCTGGGAAATCTGAAAACTAAATACAAATTTCTAAACTAGAATACGATCACATTTTTCGTGATCTTTACGCTTTTGCTGTTCGATAGTGGAGTTTGCCTTCCTTCTAACAAATGAAATGAATAATCTGATGTAATTTAGTAATCTAAAATGACAATGATGGTGTCACCTTGTTTAAGTGTACGGATTTCTGGTATTCGAAAACTTCTCTCCTTACGACATATAAATATATCGATACGCTAAATATCTGCAAAAAGAAACTTCAGAAGTGAACAGTTTTTCAATTTCATTCCATCGTAGACTTGATTGACACTTGGTTATGATATCTTTCGTCTCCACAAATTGCATAAAGCTAAACAAGTATAAGCGAGCCCTCAATTGCTCGATCTGATTGAAGTGTATTTTTTATATCGATCCCATGCCATGGCAATGATAGTGTGTGAGGACAAGCTCTCACTTGACCTCCAGCTTCAGGTCTACCACAACCTGACCAAATTTGGCTGCAATAGTGGTACCACGTAAAAGTTCTAGACGCAAAAAAAACGGCCTTGAGTCGCAAAAAAACAGCTTCGCTCAGCAAAATAACACTGTCTGGAATGTGGGGAGATAATTCAAATGGACTATCCTCGACAGGACTGTTAAGGCCTACTGATAGCTCCTCTGCGATTCGCAGGAACTACAATTATTATTATATCATGATCGCTTCGCCAATCCCAAACTGTAAACTCAAACAATCCTAATGCGCACAGGATCCTTTTACTTCAATGCTTTCCTTTATATAATCTTATATTATTTGAACTCCACACAAATACTCACATATAGAGCTATTCTCCAAACGTCATCTGGCAGCGAATACTTCCAGGGTTCTCCCGAGGGTTCAGCCAGTGCCTGGACTGTCCACGAAGCCACAAATAGAAGATTGATTGACAGCTGGAACAGGGCTCCCTTCAGTCCGAATTTGGCCCATTTGACTTCTATCAGTTTCTCGAATATTGGATGCATGATCAGGTCTAGTTTGTTGAAGTCGACTATCACTTGCAGCTGAATCATAAATTTTATATTTAAATCATATTTTATTCTTGAAAATCTAAAGATAGATGAAGTTTTTTTCATAGGTTATTCTGCTTAGTTTTTACCTAATAATATAGCCTGTAAGGGCAGATGTTTAGTGACACCTAGGATCCCGTCCTCTCCAAATCCCAAAATTAGATGCTCTGATTGTCTGTTCATTTATGTTGGAGAAATATATTCTTTCTTTCTTTCTTTCAGACGTATAGAAGAATTGAACTGTTTAATTTGGTTAAGATGAAATGTCAAACGGCCATGTAAAATTATACGAATTGGCTGATGCACAAGATCCACATAATCAATTGACGGCACAAATTTTCCAGAAAACTATATTTCCCATACGCGACTTCAAGATATCGCACGCGATTATTTCAAAAGTTTTCTCGCTTCCAATTTGCATACACTCATTTCGCAGGAGTCGAACCATCCAACAAAAACTAGCATTAAAAACTGTCCACATCAATGAAATTCTTAACCCGACGTCAAGTCATTCAGCGGTATGATTTTTCTTTATTTTCAGGATAAATGTTACTGCATAGCTCGGACGAAATTTTCCGACGGATAAAAAGGGAAAAAAATATTAATGAAAGTGAAACATCGAAATATCGGGAAGGAAAACTTAGTTGTTTTCATAACGTATCTAAGTTATTACAAGGATGATGAGCATATTTTTCCAAATTAACTTCCCACTTTGTGCAAAATTTACAGAGGCGAAGCTGTGCATCGCAAACACTTGCGAGAACACAAAAAGCAGCTTTATCAAGTGAAATAAGAAACAGTAGAAATGAGCCTCCAATTAGCAAAAACTCGGCTATGTGTAGGATTCGAATCTGTGACCTATTGCAATTAAGAGATTTTGAGTTTCTTGCACTATCCACTAAGCCACGCAAGCTTAACAACCAGCAAACACTAGTCACGAATAAAGCAGCTACATATCCTAAAAAATTGCCAATGCCATTCAGCAAAAGTGGCACCAAATAGACTCAATTTTGCAGGTAATAATTTGGAATATAACAAACTGAAGGCATCCACACTAACTTTGCAACTAACAAATCGCAAAGGATAAAGCCACATTATGTATAAATTATACATTTCAAAAAGTTGCTAGATATATTGAGTTAAAAATTTTCTGAAATCGAGTTTTCATTATTATGTTGATCGAAACAAATCACTTTTTAAAATTCATTTGATGAATTAAAAATGCATCAACTGTGTTAACTTATTACTATTCGAATGTCAAAGCACATGCTATCAAAAAGCTGTGAATTGCCCCACCATTATTGGAGTGCCGCACCAATATTTGCAACTTAGATTGGAAAGAAGAAGGTTCGTACCAATACACTCGCTTCTTAAGTGTAAAAAAAAGAAAATACACCAGTCAGAGATCGCAAATCTAAACTGCTTACAGTGCAAAAAAAATCGTGGTGTTGCAACTAAGCCGACAAAACACAAGCCGACAAAAAATAGTCCGACTATTCAATTTTCCCGGGGAAAAACGCTGAAAAAAAACAAGAGCCGGTCGGGACTCGAAACCCAGACCAAAGTGTGCAAAGGCAACCACATCAACTCCAGGCCAAGCGAACAGTGTCCTGGAAGCTGCTAAGAACTGATAACAAAGCAACAGTAATTTCAATTTCAAATGTGTTAGGAAAGTTGTTTACGGGAAAAAAAGTCTAGTTCCCGATTACAAGACACTTGCTCTTTCAAGTGTAATGAGCTGAAACAATTGAAAAAAAATTTTCTCCTATATTGACACTAGTAAATCACGAGTTTTAACTTTACGATTTATTCAAAATTATAATTCTTTCTTCTATTTTAATGTTTTTTTTTTTCAAATACTGCAGTTTATGCCTGAAAATGAGCTGACCTTTAAAAATTAGCTACGCGCTCAACCCGGATGTCGTACAAATAGGTTATTTTTTTTTTTCATTTCAGTTTCACAGCTTACCGCAGATTGTGCAGCAACCTCTTCTTGGTCTGAAACACAAAATTTCCAGAAAACTATATTTCCCATACGCGACTTCAAGATATCGCACGCGATTATTTCAAAAGTTTTCTCGCTTCCAATTTGCATACACTCATTTCGCAGGAGTCGAACCATCCAACAAAAACTAGCATTAAAAACTGTCCACATCAATGAAATTCTTAACCCGACGTCAAGTCATTCAGCGGTATGATTTTTCTTTATTTTCAGGATAAATGTTACTGCATAGCTCGGACGAAATTTTCCGACGGATAAAAAGGGAAAAAAATATTAATGAAAGTGAAACATCGAAATATCGGGAAGGAAAACTTAGTTGTTTTCATAACGTATCTAAGTTATTACAAGGATGATGAGCATATTTTTCCAAATTAACTTCCCACTTTGTGCAAAATTTACAGAGGCGAAGCTGTGCATCGCAAACACTTGCGAGAACACAAAAAGCAGCTTTATCAAGTGAAATAAGAAACAGTAGAAATGAGCCTCCAATTAGCAAAAACTCGGCTATGTGTAGGATTCGAATCTGTGACCTATTGCAATTAAGAGATTTTGAGTTTCTTGCACTATCCACTAAGCCACGCAAGCTTAACAACCAGCAAACACTAGTCACGAATAAAGCAGCTACATATCCTAAAAAATTGCCAATGCCATTCAGCAAAAGTGGCACCAAATAGACTCAATTTTGCAGGTAATAATTTGGAATATAACAAACTGAAGGCATCCACACTAACTTTGCAACTAACAAATCGCAAAGGATAAAGCCACATTATGTATAAATTATACATTTCAAAAAGTTGCTAGATATATTGAGTTAAAAATTTTCTGAAATCGAGTTTTCATTATTATGTTGATCGAAACAAATCACTTTTTAAAATTCATTTGATGAATTAAAAATGCATCAACTGTGTTAACTTATTACTATTCGAATGTCAAAGCACATGCTATCAAAAAGCTGTGAATTGCCCCACCATTATTGGAGTGCCGCACCAATATTTGCAACTTAGATTGGAAAGAAGAAGGTTCGTACCAATACACTCGCTTCTTAAGTGTAAAAAAAAGAAAATACACCAGTCAGAGATCGCAAATCTAAACTGCTTACAGTGCAAAAAAAATCGTGGTGTTGCAACTAAGCCGACAAAACACAAGCCGACAAAAAATAGTCCGACTATTCAATTTTCCCGGGGAAAAACGCTGAAAAAAAACAAGAGCCGGTCGGGACTCGAAACCCAGACCAAAGTGTGCAAAGGCAACCACATCAACTCCAGGCCAAGCGAACAGTGTCCTGGAAGCTGCTAAGAACTGATAACAAAGCAACAGTAATTTCAATTTCAAATGTGTTAGGAAAGTTGTTTACGGGAAAAAAAGTCTAGTTCCCGATTACAAGACACTTGCTCTTTCAAGTGTAATGAGCTGAAACAATTGAAAAAAAATTTTCTCCTATATTGACACTAGTAAATCACGAGTTTTAACTTTACGATTTATTCAAAATTATAATTCTTTCTTCTATTTTAATGTTTTTTTTTTTCAAATACTGCAGTTTATGCCTGAAAATGAGCTGACCTTTAAAAATTAGCTACGCGCTCAACCCGGATGTCGTACAAATAGGTTATTTTTTTTTTCATTTCAGTTTCACAGCTTACCGCAGATTGTGCAGCAACCTCTTCTTGGTCTGAAACACAAAATATATATCTACATAAGATACCTACCTCAAATGGAAATCTTAAGTATTTTCGCTTTTACAACATCACTATATTATTCATTTTCATTCATGTATTAACTAACGCCTCCAATGTTTGCAAATGTTAAATATAGATGTAAAACTCAACAAACAATTTTTAACCTGCTTTGACGTGTTCCAATTTGTCCAGATAAAACATCTGCTTCCGGTTTGCCCTGTCTTTCTTGTGGAACTGGTCCAGTGCTTCTTTGGCCTACCGCGCATTAGAAGAAAGGTTACTTTTAAACTAATTTTGTAAATTATACTTATTTTAAACTAAATGCTTTCAAAACCATTAAATTCAATTCATAATAGCTACAGATGGTTCCATAGAAATCAGAAGTGCATGATAAATACGAAAGTTAAGCCACATATATTCATTAAATTGGCAAAGTTCATTTAGTCAAATTTAAAAGTTTCACGCCCTCAAGAACTCGACCTAAAAATTCAAAATTCCCTGCGCTCATTGACAATTAACCATATGTTCTTAATTCTTTCCATATAAATGGATCAACCTGAAGATATCAAGTATAGTGACTACTTACCACCGGTGACATTTTCCGCACCATCAGCACAATAGCAGCCATTCCTGACTTGTCCACCACTCCCGCGTTAGCACCATACTCCAACAACATCCTGGCAGTATCGCTCCTGTCCAGTTCAGCTGCCACGAACAGAGGAGTTCTTCCCTTGTAATCTTGCGCTTCTAGATCTGCCCGACACTTGATCAGTTTCAGGAGTGCATTGCTGGCATCGTTGCGAGCCGCAAAATGCAGTGGCGTTTGATTCTCTTCAAATGTTTGAGCCTCGAGGATACCTGACAAAAAGGAAGACGATGTTTCAACTAAAAGAAAAACCAAGCGTTTAGTCGTTTTTTCAGTTACATATTGTCTATGGAATAAGACGTAACGTTCACCAGCACATTTTCAATTTCTCGAATCTTGAAGGTTAAAGTCGTGTTCAAGTTAAATCAAAAACGTACGTAGACGTCACAAATACTTCAGTTTAAGGCATTAACAATCGCAGCTTAAAACAAAAAAAAACGTATTCCCAAATACTTTCTAAGACCGCAACCAAATTTTCAAACAGAAAGGAAGTTCTTCATTGCAATTGACCTCCATTACCTCCACTTTCCAGTAGCATTTCGAGCATGTCTGGATAATCAACCGCAGCCGCAACATGCAGTGGCGTCCTTCCTAAGTAATCCCGACCACTCACATCCGCCCCTTTGTCTATTAGATACTCCGCAACTGAAGTATGCCACGCCCTCGCTACTTCGTGAAGTAAACTCTGGCCGAAAACGTCTCTTGTATTAACGTCTGCGCCTGAAAAAAAAAACGTTTTAATCATGATTTTAACGGGCCTTAAAGGGGATTAAACCCAAAAAAGAAGAAAAACCAGGAACATGTCTACTTTCGACTCGTAGTATTTGTAGAATTGAATTTTGACATGTCTGGCAAAAAAGACAAAACATTGAATGTGGAAAAACCACGTCAAAAAAAAAACAGTTTCATTGATACCTGACTTGATCAGACCATCCACAAAAGCCATATCAATCTCCTCGTCGATGTCATCACTTCGGGCTAGTTTGGCAAAGTAGTGGAGAAGCGCTTGGCTTTGGGTGATCGAGGCATTGTGTTTTCTGATCTTGTCTCGCTCTTCTGGTACGTTGGAGTCCACGGGGAGAAGTTCATCTTCTACGTCACTTCCCAGCTCACAGATTCCCATTTCATTCAACTTCACGTACCCTAAAAGTAACTCCAAATTATGTTGACTGACTATACACATTACAACACAAGAAACTCAGGCAGTTGATAAGCTTCATGATTTGGTATTTTTGAATAGTTCTGCAGGGTTGCATGATTAAAATCAGCCTGATTTTAATCGGAGAATTTAAAAAAATCAACCCCGCTGTTTATTGCGTCATCCTTCCGAATATTCGGTCCTATTAGACCTGCATGTTATTCAGTTGTTTACACTGAGTATCCAATACTCGCTACTTTGGCGAGGAAATTTTTCTGCATACCATTCTCGAGTAATCCGTCTGACACTGTTTTCAGCACTACTGGAAACATTGTACCCAGACAAAAGCATCACTTACTGGAGATCGAGATAAGAAGCCAAATATTCTGCCTGAAAATTGGAAAATTTTCAATCAAATATTGATCTTTATTTTGTTTTCTCAAGAAGACTGAAAAACCCAAGAAAACCGAATGTTCGAATGTTGCACTACTATTTATGATTACCAGACATGTAGTAACTAAACTGATGAGCAGGCAAAATTGCACTATTTAGCAAATAGATCAGGGTGTGGAATACGGCCGCGTGGATGAGCCGCGGGGGGTGGTGGTGGGGGGGGGGGGGGGGGGGGGGTAGGGGCTGGGACGCTGCTGCTTAAAATTCCCGAAAAAAAATGTAATCTACGCAGATTTGAAGCTTTATGATTCACTACTAACACGCAGTTGATATTACGTACGGTTGAGAAATTGATTTTTAACAAACCGGTGCAATTTTTTGGTATTCTGCTAGCTGATACGGTAGATCCTATGTCAAAAACAGTACCATTCAATAAATCAGTTCAATACTGGAAATCTATACTTTCCACTCGTTATTTAATACAAATACTTTGACCTTTTCAGGCTGTGAAATAGATGTGTAGCCTACAACATTCATTAGCTGTCATTAAATGTCAGAAGATGATAATGACGGACATTCCAAAAATATTCATTTCAATTCTGAGAACGACTTAAGAATTAAGTCACGATACCACTAGCTTCGTATAATAAACACTTACTCAGAAGTGTAATTAGACATCTACCTGAGACTGGAATGAAGCGATCACTGGGAACATCCACAGTTCCGCTTCCATCTTTCTTGATTCCTATTTTCCTCTTCGAAGGCACACAACTCGCCCACTTCTGAACATGCCTTCTCAAATTCACCATGTTTGAAAACTTGTCGGCTAAATCGGCCGCTCCCCCAAGCAGCTTTCTATCGTTTCCTTCTTGGTCCTTGAGGTTCAATTCAGACTCCATGATGTTATTGTTGTCCTCGTTTCCCGAATATTCGTCTTCGTTTTCCAAGTAGTTTCCTTCTTCGTTCTCGTTGTATTCAGGCGGCGGTTGGTCTCTCATTTCGAATCTGCTACCCGCCGATGAACGAGAAATGTTCGGACGAGATTTACCTCCTTTGAACATTTTGTTTTATTTTATCGTTATGTACAAATAAAGTGAACCTCCATTTCAAATTCTGAAATAAGAAAAAACTTATTTATTTGTCATGTTAATTTTGACTTAGTGAGTTGGATAGCCTTCAGTGTCCACTCAAGCTGAATATCTTTGAATGTTAAACTATAAAGATTTATATATTTTTGGAGCGCACATAGCTTAAATTATTGGTTCCGACCATTTAAAATAGGGGGAGGGGAATTTGTATTCGGGTTTTAGTTTTTCTTTTTTTCATTTTTTTTTGTTTTCCGCGCATAATCAGGTACCACAACTAACACAGAGCCGAAGCTGAGCTTCGTACCACTTCGGATACAGAAAGCCAACGAATCGTAAAACATATTTTAAAAAAAGCCAAAAAGAACAACATCCGAAAATTTCATATATTGGCCTGACAATGAAACTCAAAAAGATTGAAAATGCACAAAAAAATTACCGAGCGGTAACTATGCAGGCAAAACAGGGATAAAAAGCCCAAAACATTAGCGAGCGGTAACTATGCAGACAAAACAGTGATAAATAGTCATAAAAAATCCAACCGTGGGATTTTTTGAAATCAGAAAATGTAAAAACTTGGGAAGTTTTTGTCAGAAATTTGATGTGCCATAAATTTGAATCGATTGGCAACAACAATTCTCAGACATCACGAATTTAGACGAAGGGTAGCTCTGAGCTACGTCCAAACAAACTAAGACACTGAGTCGAAGCTTAGCTTCGCACCACTTGCGATACCAAGTGATCTATCAAAATGAATGAATAAAAAATCATGCCGAAATATTAGAATCCAAAACAAGCACGAAATAAACTAAACAATCGGTTAAAAAAGCCGAAAATACCTGAGCGGTCTCTTCAAGCCAAATATTTGATAATTCAAAACTACTTCAATATTTTTAGATCCACTTCCCCTCAGCGCACACAGGCACACAAAAAAACTTTTCGGATCGAAAAACGCAAGAAGAGGCAACTAAGTCGATATAAAACGAGATGAAACCTATTTAGTCGGAGGAGAAACAAAAAAAAGGAATATTCGACAAACCGAGTGGTAAAAATTCAACCAATCTAAAAGGTGCAGAGGTGAGCGTAAAAAATCTTTACCTTCAACCGACCCAAAATTAACTCACTAAGCCGATAACAAACAGGCGGAAAAAATTGGCATGAGGAAAGCTTTCAAGCGAAACAAAAAAAGGAAACAAGTCAAGCTAAATAAAAAATGCAAACTGCAGAAGTAAATCAAACACTAAAAGCAACATTAAAGAAAAATGTGCGCAGAAAAATACGATTCCAAGATGTGGCAACTAAGCCGACAAAAAATGAGCAGACAAATAATAGGCCGATAATTTGAAACATTTCCTGTTTGAAAAAAAAAAACAGGTCCTGGTCAGATTTGAACCCAGCACCTTTGCAGTTCCAGGCGTATTCGTTACTTCCAGGCTAAGTTGGCCGGGAACGCTAAGAAATTTGAAAACAATATGAAACTAAGTGCCAATAGAGATAAGCCTAGAAGTCCATATCCGTCCTGCGAACAAAGTTAATTACGAGAAAAAAAGCAGAGTACTCGAATGCAATAACCTTGCTTATCGCAAGGGTAACAAAAAAAATTTATCAAAAAAAAACTGGCAAAAAAACTGTTGCCTAATTCAATTTTTTCACTATAAAATTTGGGCAGGTATAAAAACGATAAATTGGTTTACGTAATTGAGGTGTTTCACTTTTATACCTGCCCAAACTTCATAGCGAAACAAAATGAAAAGCGTGTTTTTTCGCCACCATTTTTTAAAATAATTTTTTTTGGTCACCCTTGCAAATGAAATGCAAGTGAAACTTGCACTTGAATTGGAGCTGGAAAAAAATTACAGAGCGAGAGGAAAACAATAAGTGCACAAGAAACAAACAGCGAAAAAAAGTAATTAATAATCTGAAATACATAATCTCAGACCATGAGCAGAACAAGAACAAATTTTTTTAAGTTAAATTGTGATCCGATAGCGCTTTAGGGCTCCTTAAACCGAGTTACCGTACTAAAAATATATATAACCTATAAAGCACAAGAAGCAAACTAAAAATCAATTGACGAAAAAACTGATTGAAAATTAAACAAAGGAAAATGCGAATGAACTCATGACTACAATTAACTACGCACGCCAATAACAATATGATTAAAATAGCAAGCCGCTCAACAAGTATCGAGGAAAATATCCGAAGTAAGATTTACTGAAAAGATAAAAAACATGAAAAAATCCAACTTTGTACAAAAAGATCGGAGAAGTGATGACAAAAATTCAAACATACTTTGTCAAAATAGAATCAAGGTTGAAAAACGACTGAAAAAAAAATAAGGCAAATAAGCTCAAACGTAAAACTTCTTTCTAAACTCAAAAAAAAATAGATGCCTTGAAAGCTCTTTGATTTTCTAGCACAATTTCTGATTGGCGCTTTGTGATGAAAACTAATCCAATTTGAGAAAACTGGATTAACAGGTAAAATTTTTATTTCGCTAGGAAATTCAATAATTAAATTCCTTTTTCGAAACTAGAAGTCAATCATCATTTTCCTGATCGTTACACTTTCGCTTTACGATACCAGAGTTTTCCTTCCTTGTAAAAGGAAATCAACAGAACTTGAAACGAAATAAGTCAATATGCAAAAAATTCAATTTGAGCCTGAATTAATTTTTAAGACTATCCCTGAAAAAAAAACAAAAAAAATCATTGCGACCCATATAAGAGTTCAAACTATGTTCGTCGACTCTTAATAGGCAAAATACTTAAAATGCGTGTTTTTAAACTTACTATTTCGAACTTTGAACAAAGTTAGTTACAGGAAAAAATGTCTTGTACCCGGTTGCAATACCGTTGCCTTTCGCAAGGGTAATCGTTAGCATGGGTTAAAAGGCATATCAAATTAAAGCCATTTTAGATATGATTCGAACGACATAGAAAAATCACATCTTTGTCGAAACGGTTTTTAAGTCTTAATTCGAGCAAGTGAAGGCGATCTGCTAACAACGGTTATTTGAAAATTGGTTATATAGAATCAGAAAACTTAACTTTACACAGAGAAAAAAATGGTTTTAAGATTGCTTAATTTAGTGCTTTCATTAAGTGCTTTCTCGGCAAAATAACGTTTAAAAAAACCACTAAATTTAAGAAAAAAAATTCTTTTTCTTAAACAACTGCTTCCAATGATGCTTAATACACTATTTTTCTATGCGTTTGTATAATTATCTAATCACACCTAGCAGAAAAACACGACACTAATTTGAATAAGTTTTTTTGTAACTTCTTGATGAATTTGGTGAGATTATGTTATCCTTGTTGTTCCGACCATTGAAAATGGGGAGAAACTTTGTATACGGGTGTTTTAGTTTTTCTTTTTATTTTCCTGGCAAAATTAGGTACCACAAATAATCATCGGACTGGGTTGAGTGATATATCATATTAAAGCCCTTTCAGTAGTGATTCGAACCACAGTAAAACATTTCAAAATTTTTCCCAGTGTCGAGAAAAACCGGTTTGAAATTTTTGATTTTTCGTCTTAATTCGAGCGATTAAAGCAAGCGAGCAGGCTTACAACAGCTAAATTATGCCTAATTTAAGACCTTGTAACTTTATATTGAGCAAGTTAAACTCGTTTTAGGAGTTTTTTTAGCTTCGTTTTGGGAAACAATAACTTCAAAAAACTCAAAATGAAATGCGAAAATTTTTTTAAAAAATAATAATTTTTTGTTTTGTAATCATTTTTCTACAAAACTTTTGTCCCGCAATTCGCCTTATATTACTGTGACTGTCTAATATGACTAAATTATATTTTCACGTCAAATCCTTTCATCACACCAAGCAGAAAAAACTACACTAATTTGGAAAAAAACTTTCTAAACATAGATTTCTAAAGACCATGGTCGGAGCATTCTGTGCTAGTTGCACAGTAACCGGCTATCCTTGTTATATTTTTAACATAGAAGCGAAGTTGCACTTCGCATAAACAAGCAAAAATATGACCGATAACGTTACTGGGAAAGACTGAATGCATAAAACTTTGAGTCTACAAAATTTCATAAGTAACGCGGGCCAAATGAGAGTCTACATAACTGCTAAATGACGCACGCCAATTACGACGCATTAGCAGTACCAGTCAATTTGATTTTAAAAAATTACCAACTAACATACCTCAATTTATACAGCACTCTATGGAGCAGTAATAACATGAAAACATTAAACGTAATAAAAATGAATTTTATTTTTTAATATGAGATTTCTAAATAACCACAGGTGAAATATCTTTCCAAATTCAAGCTCAGCACAACAATACTCTTTGAATGATATTTTAAAAAATCCCGTCAAAAATGGCTAGTTAAGAAGTCGAAATTTGTCTGAAGAAAAAAAAACCACCTCGAGCACAAATATTCCCCTTCTTTCGTTACGAAAGTCGGAACAGCAATAGTCTGTGTGAATATCCTCAGCATTGGCTGCACTTAATAGCTGTTTATTGATCAAAGCGAATACTTTTCAGATGAACACATTTTGCCGGAACAATATTTGCGACTTAGGTTCAAAAACAAAAGAAAGTTCATACTATAACACAAGCTCTGCTTGTGTAAACAGTGGTGCTACGTCCCCATTCCAACTCGAAAGATCGGAGGTTTGAGGCCAACCATTATCTATGCTCGTAATTTGAAGCACCGTTGTCCAGCCTAGATAAATAAGCAAAAAAATGCTTGTATACTTAATCAGATACACAAAAGCGGTTCTCCGTAATTATCTGAACAGATCGTTAAATTGGTCTTTTCTCTCGTGGCTTAATGGTCTTAAATTAAAGTTGCAAAAACGATATCAGTAGTTTATGAAGATTTGTTACAAAAATAGACTTTCAATAGATAGAACAAAGTACAGCACAGTAATAGTACTTACTTATTTGTTGTAACATATACCATCTAATATAGAAGGTGGACAATGACTATGAAATAGCCTTCTGCAAAAAATTTTAATCAAGTTTGGTGCAAGGTAAATAAGACGACAGGACATCAAGACGACATGGCCATTAGAAGACTAAATCAATTTGTAGTCCTTTGGTATGTAAAACCTGTTTCAGAAGAAAGGCACGCTAATCTTGTAGCGACTTAAGTAATTGCCATGTTTTTCTTTGATCTCTACTAATTATCTTCTTAAATTCTCTGATGACATGACTGTCGTTTTAAGAGTTGTCGTCTTATTTGACGGAAAACATTCAATTCAGGAATTTGAACGTTATTTTCTAGAACTCTTTTTTAATCATTGCCTGTTGCCCATTTAATCCTCCGCGGCCTCCCATGTTACTATTCTGGTTGAAATTCCCTCCTCCTCTTCCGCCACCCCTTCCGTATGACCTTTCTTGGCGATGTCCAGACCCCCCATAAAACCCGCCCCCCATATTGTTTCTTCTGTTATTCGGGGATGTCATGTTATTGCCCATGTAGTTATGATGGGGTGTGGAGTTGTAGAAGCCGCCCGGGTTCTGAACAGGCATTCCACCATGCAGGTTGTTCATGTCCATAAAATTGTTGCCGCCCATGTTTCGCATTCCGCCTCCTCCCATGTTCATATCACGGGCACCTTAACACGAAACATTCATGAGAAAGTCCGGATACACGGTCAACATATACCCGCTGAGAGAACTTTCCTCGTGTCAGAAAAACCTAATTCCTAAAAGTTTTGATAGCTAATCAGAATTTACACAGTAATCCAACATTTGAAAAATCAGGAAAATCCGTCAGTTTTGAAGTAAAAAAAGGCGTTGATTGGTTGAAAATTTTCGTGAATTCAGTCACTAATCATGCGAATATCCACCTAGTACTTTTTATTTTTTGATTTTCAGGATCGCCATTTGCATTTTCTGACCTAAATATACGGGTCTGCTTCTTCCGCTTTTTGTAACTGACTAAAATCTGCGAACAACCAAATTTTTCGGAAATGATACTTACCAAACGACTGGTTAGACATGCCACTGTAGCCATTAAACCCCCCGAATTGATCCATCTGGTTGTTGAATCTAGGCCCCCCTCCGAAACCCATATTCATAGGGTCAGCTCCCCATTGTGGAGGAGCTCCCATATTCTGCGGACCCCTCATCGTATGCATGTTGGGAGACTGCTGGTATCCCATCATGCTGCCCATTGAGGAACCATCGAACTGATTCATGAATCCTGGGTTGCCATAGCCCATGTTTTGAGAACCTCCCATTCCGTATGGAGCTGAACAAGACAAACATGATTCAACAAATTCTTATCTTAGACAATTTTATGAAGAATGGTTTTTGAGAATAAATTTTCGTGCAAACAGAAAAAATTTTCCGTGCAAACACGTCACCTTCGAAGTAATATTTGAATGACATTTTGACCAATAGGGTCGAATGTCGGATTAAAATTACCACAAAACTAAGAATGAATGCACCAATTAACTTGTATTAGATGCTCACCAAATCGCTGCTTGTGCTTTCTCACTAAATCAGGAGGACCGCCTTTGGACACCGCTGCACCGGAGTGTTTGACATCAAACTTCTTTGCCTCAACCTAATCAATGTACAAAATCAACAAATAAAGTAAGTGAGCAACAAAAACTATCTGGCAGAAAACAGAAACTTGAGGTTTGAGATGCTTAAGGATATCTGGATGTGTTCTCACTTATTTTGGTTGCTGGTTAAACTTCGCAACGTTGTAAGAAATAAATTCAACTGCGAAAGTATATTTAGCTATTAAACACATCAATTAACGAACTATTGCACAAATTCTTAAGCATCACTAAAGCAGAAACACTTTACCGTCTAAACTGGAATGTGTAACCACCAGCAGTGAAATCTAAAAAGAAACAGTGGGATCATTTCAGTTTTCACGCGAATGTCACTTCTAGAAGATTCTAGAATGTCTTCTTCCAAACTCCCGCAGTCATCCATGTTGGGCTAAAAGAAAATCTATCATTCAGATTGCTTCTTGAGCATTTGCTTAGATTCCAGATTCATGTCGATATTGAAGATTTGTCCTCGTATATGTAGATTATATGTCAACGTAATGAGGGTTCCATCTTTGCTTTTGGGTTCGAAGCAGCTACATATAACCATCTTCTAACTAATTGCATGGGTACTTCTTCGTGACGATTCTTCGGTACATGATGTAAAGATGAGCGTTTAGTTTATATGCAACTAATATATTCTTGGATAATGCTCATCTCTAGATTTCATGATTGCATAAAGACTTCTTTTTATCCAGAGAAGATACAAAAGTAAAGCATCAAGTTGCATGTATCAGGTTCGTGTGATACTAACAGCACCTTAGACCAGTAAAGACCTCAGTTCAATTATAGAAAATAAAATATCAATTGTTACATAAATGAGGTCTGAAATTTCATGAAATTGGTTTTAGTACAAAAAACATGAATCCTTTCTTTGTTGGAACTACATATATTTTATGAACTTCATATATGTTATGAAAGATTTAATTGAAAAAATCAATAGTCAGCTTACAGTTGTGGTACCAATTGTATGTGAGCTGTCAGCAGACGCATCAATTGCAGCTTGTTCACTGTCAAATTCGATGAAGCAGTACTCTCTTCTACTGAAAGTATTGTCATCATTTGTGTAGACTGGCAAATCAATATTCGTGATCTGCAAAAAATCGAGGAAGCACATTAGAAGGAACTTGTTCGACACTTTAAGGAGAGTACTAAGCTAGACTACCAGTAAGAACATAATTTCACCTTACAGTGAAGCCGTGGTGAAAAGCGAACAGAGGAAACATAATATTGAAAGACTATGAACCCTCTTTACCCAAACTTGCTTGAGGAAAAATATATTTGGCACGAAATTTTTTGGTTGTGCAACCTTCAACATTAAGAAAACTTGTTATTTTAATTTAAAATTTAGAGGGTTTTAAGGAATCGTTGCTCTTTTAAGAAGATGTTCACAAAGAGAAGCTCACAGGAAACAACAGCTTAAATTCTGCATTACGAAAAAAAAACTCTACAAAATTAAGAGGGTTTTAAGAAATCATTGCTTTTTTAAGAATAACTGGTAACTAGCTACCTTATCTTTACAATAAGAAGCTCACAGGAAAAAAAACTACCAAAATTATGCGTTACAAGACAAACCTCTCCAAAATGCCCAAAGTATTCTCGTAGCTCTTCCTCTGAGCAAGCTTTCGAGTTCTTGACAAAAATCTTCCTTGGTCTTGCTTTTCCATTTGTGTTCTCAGACCTCGCTCTTTTCGGGTCAATTTTGCGATTGTTCAGGACATGAGAACCAGATTGCATCACTTTTTCCACACTCGCAGTCTCCATATAAATGATGAAAGCAAAGCCCCGAGGTACTCCATTTCTGTCTCTTTTCATTGCAGCTTCTTCAACTGCGCCAAATCTCGCAAAATAGCGCAGTAGGTCTTCTAAAAAATGATTGAATCCATATTGAATTCAAATTATTTCTCTGATTCAAATATCTTTGTTCGTGCACTGTTTTTCTCAGATGATGTGCTTTTCTTTTAATCATAAAGGTGCAGAATAATCAAATGAGTGGTCTATGTCAATTTTGAACATACTTTACACGCAAATTCGATTTTCAAGCAAATTTGAGGCAAAATTTTTGACAAAATAACATCCGCATCTTGACAAAAGAAAAGCCACCTCTTCGATTTGGCAGAATAACAGCCAGCTCTTCTTTTTAATATGAAACTCTTTGCTTCAGAAAATAAGAAGACTAATACAGACCATCAGTAGTATTCCAACTGAGACCGCCGACGAACAATTTCCTGAAAAATTAAAGTGTGCTGCGACCAGTCAAAGAATCACAATTGAGTAGAAACAAAGATGAGGTCCCATTTGTACCGAGGTTCATTTGTACCAAAATGAAAAAACGGTCCCATTTTTACCAAATTTATTCAACTCAAAAACAGCCGAATAGTGACCGCCGCAGTCGCACCAGCGTGTTGCGAGCTTGCTAACATAGTGTAGGACTATATACAAAAATTAGAGCAGGTTATCGCCGCAAAGCGGCGACGCGCGCAAAGCCCGCCCACCGGCGACCTTAAGCCAAGAGCCTAAAATAATCGGCTTAGTAGTCTTTGGCCAATTGAATATTTTTAGTACTAATGGGATTGATTTTTAATTTTGGCACATATGGGACTGATTTATCGTTTTGGTACTTGTGAATACCCACCAGAAACAAAAGCTCTTTCTCTTTCATTGCCCTTTTTTGGCAAACGAAAAGCCATGAAAAAACTATTGGTGTTTAGGGATATAAAATATTTCCGATTGCAATGTAATACCTCTCTTCCCCTTACTTAATGAAACTTAATAAAAAGTAATAGTAAAATTTCTTGCGTACATTTTTTTCATATAACTCAAAAAATTAATTGGTACCTTTCATCATCCGCTTCGTTAAAACGCTTCTCGATTTCCTGTTGACTTCTGTCATTTGTGAAATTCGCATATTGCGCCATTATTAAACAAAACTCTGAAAAAAAGAGAGTCACTATTATTAAATTGCTCATGCCATGAAATAACCAAAAATAACTTTGCAACTAGAACGTCACTACTATAAGATTACTCAATGAGGACAACCTTTTACCAGAAAACTAAAACAAAAGCCTTTTAATAGGCTACTTATACATGATAATTTGGAAATATACTAGTGGAAAAAAATAAGCGCAAAGTTTTCAATGTTCTTTTGGACATTTATTTCGATTTTCAGAGTTTTGCATAGACCACAAGAAAATGATCAGAATTACCGTCTATGAAATAAATAATTAAGTCAAAAGTATCATAGTAACCGAGGTTAGTCAGGAAACCTCCATCACATATTCCAGTCAAAATCCTAGGAATTTAATAGAATATTCTAGATATGGAAGAGTAAAGTACACTTGTGGACAAAATTAAGCGCAAATTTAGGTTTTTTTCTTTTAAAAAGCCTAACTTTAAAGATCATTTTGCGACATTCGACCAGAATGACCTGAAAATTCATGTCATGAAAGAATTTTAATTCGCGCAGTTTTGGCGTGCGATATGTTGATATTGACGACTAACGTGATTGTTCGACGAATTGAACGAATTGGGAGAGGTCAGTTTTGACTGAAATGCTAAGCTGTAAAAATTCGTTCGGAAATAAAGACACGTCACGACCTTGCAATTTCGTGACGAATGCAACCGCAAAAATCGGAACGATGATTTTCGTGGGAGAACCAGTAAAAACGCTGAACTAAGCAGATAGAAAAAAAAGAAGAGCGAGCTTGAAAACCCGAGAACATTCCAGGAAGTAACGATTGGGCTTTCACAATCGTTACTGTGCTGATTTCATAAAATAGGAAGCCTGCGAATCAGGAGTGAAACCCTTCCTGGTATTGAAGAGAGAGATTATTTGGTGCAGATCATAAATTCGGAAAAGTATCGAAAGACAGTAAAATTTATTGAACAATTTTTAGCTTCACGAAATGTCTTGTATTGAACTAAACTAACATCAGATTCATCTTCAGATGATGAGAAGCTAGGAAATGAGGGAAAAGGTCGATCCATCTCCAAAGGATATGATGATTTTATCTACTGAACAAAAATCACAATAATAAATCAGTAGTAGTCCTGTTTTTAGGAGTGACCTCGTAGTCTGGTGATACTGAGACCCAGCCAGGAGCTCACTACTTTGCATATAACTAAGTTGATTTGCGCGGTTTTGCCGATAGCCTTTAAGTTGTAACAACTTCGTCGATGCAATGTTAGTGGACTGCACATTGAACTGGCTTGGTAGAGATAGTTAAAAGCATGTGAAGCTGTGTTTAGACGCTAGTCAACCATTTCATCAATCGCTTTTTTTCGTTCATATGTGCATCCGGGCGAATCTTAAATTTTGGACGATATTTACTTAGAATTTCAACAAAACTTTTCTATCGACCGACAGCAAATGATCAGAAGTACCTTCTGTGAAAGCCTCAAACTTTAATTTGAAGCACTTGCCAGTTTTTTTTGCGGGTCTGAACATTTCAGTGTTCATCATCCGAACTGAATTTATAAAAATTCCTGAAATTGTGCGAAACAGCTGAATTTAGTAAAGTTATCATACTAATTCTTTTACAAATCTCGCTGAGAATGTTTCACGTCGCATGAACAACTTTTAACTCCATTTATTCAAGAGGGATTTCACTACCTTGCAAACCCTAGCGCAGACGAAGAGAACTGGCATTTTCAGGCCCGGAAAAAAAGAGCTAAATGCTTCAAACTTAAAATTGAGCCTTTCAGAGAGGGTAGTTCAGATCATTTGCTGTCGGTCGCTTCGAAAACTTTGTTGAAATTCTAAGTAAATTTTGTCCAAAATGTCTTTAAAATTAGGTTTTTTAGTCGGAAAAAACTAAAATTTGCTTCTAAGTTTGTCCACTAGTGTATAACGTGGATAGAAGTAAAGAGACTCAGATAGTTGGGAATCAAACCAATCAGATTGCCAAAACTAACACCTGCACAGAATAAACCGGAGTCGAAAGAAACTCAAAACGATTGACCCGGAATGAGGCTACTGGTGTGTCAAATCCTTATACAAAGCTGCGCTTTTGCTCCCTTGGCCCTTTATATAAAAAATTTCTTCGATGTAGTTTTATCCTTAAAAGTGCCGAGTACACAGGCATCTTAATTGGTATCACACTTAGCAATGTAATCCGGGTCTAAAAAAGACAAATTTCCTCATGTGCACTAAGTTTTACATTAGAGAGAGTTTTTTTCGATTTAGCGGAATATATAATCACTGTTTATACAACGTCAAACATTTTCAGCGAAAAAAATCTAATTAAAGTTTGAAAATTTTTAAATAGCTCGGCTGTTTCTTACTTTTCCATGCTGATTTACAAAACTTAGCATAGATGAAGAAATTTTAAATTTTCAGACACAGATTACATTGGTAAGACTTTGATAGCATACTTTGTTTACTTCATAGAGAGTAGCCCTGATCATTTCTTCGTGGTCTATGGAAAAGTTTTGCAAGAAAATGTGAAGGTAAAGTAAATGTTAACCAAAAAGGACTTTAAAAACAAGCATATTGGAGAGTGAAAACTTCAATTCGCGCTCATTTCTATCTTGTTTTTTTTTCCAACGAGTATGAAAGCGCCGTTGTCTACTAGAGACCGCATTTTATGAAAAGGGCCCAGTCGTCCAGGTACGGACCATAAAGAGCCTGGATTTTGTTATAGGAAAAAGTATCTTTTAGAACAAATTGGCATCTGAAGGGAAAGTACAATGTTAGCAAATGCAGTTGGAAAAAAGGTTGCGTTCAGTCTTGCCAAAAAAGAACAAACGGAGAATATGATCGCTGAAGTGTATAAAGACTATTTTCTGAATAAGTATCGAAGACTTTTGCTCATGGAGACTGACCTTGTATATCAAATTGAAGAACTCAACAAAAATTCAATTGAACTTTGGAGAAACTGGAGTTCGGAAAAAAGCATTAACGAATATATTGATCGAAAGGACATTGAAAGAAGAGGCTAAAGAGAGTGTACCGAAATTATTTTTAAAAATTCGGTTGGCTGCGTAATGACACGTAACAACGTATTAGAAAACCAAATTGGGAAATGCTGTGCTTTTTACGCTCCATTGATCATCGGATTCAAGACGGATCAGCCAACTCTGTCGCCTTTACCAGTAGATACCTCAGGAGAAAAATGAGCCTGCCGGTGGTGATATACTTCCGGGACGTGCTGAAGAGGGGGATTGCGCCCGGACGACTATCTGGAAAGAAATGACACAATCTTGAGCTACATTCCCAGCTATGGTAATATCTTCGAAAGGATCAAATAGTCTTTTCTGAATACCTTGACGCCAGAGAAGTGGACTTCCATTCTATTTGAGTTCAACCGACAAGTGAACAAATAGATCTATTTGGATGAGTTCAAAGAGCAGAATTCTGGGAGGTTGTGGTGGATTGATGACAGCCTGTCTTGATAGCAGCGGTACTGGACATCAAAGACTAAGAGTCCATCCATCCCAACGGCTGTTCTCTAGGGATAAGGCTTGAATGACGCTGGAAGACTTAGGTAAGTGTTAAGTGAAGTTAGGGATTAAGAGTCTGAATAGCGTTGACATGTTGGCACATGCATGATTGTGATAATGCTGGTTTGAGCTTAGCCAGGAGGAGGGATGCTACGAGCCTCGTTAGATTATTAATGTTCGTGACTGTAGACGCTTTTATTTGGATTTGTCATCAGCCAAAAAATAATGAAGAACAATGCGCGGGAAAAGAGGACCTCGAGTTTTGTTCTAGATGATTATCAGACTGGTTGAATCAAAGGGAACAACCACTCAAACGAGTTAATCAAAAATCTTAGCAAAATAGGCAAAATCAGCTGTAACGACGTGCATTGCCCCCTGATGGAGGCACAAAACTATTGCAAACCAGTGAAGAGGGTAGTCGAATATCAGTACGTCTCGGGAAACATGGGAGTATCCAACAACCCATCTTAAGCACCGAGGCATGCAAAGTCTATCTCAACTTTGAAATCTCCGAGTTTCTGGAGTTTTGGATGGAAAAGATAATAAAGTTTGTCGTTCTGTAGAGAGAGAGAGAGAGAGAGAGAGAGAGAGAGAGAGAGAGAAATAGAGAGAGAAAGAGAGAAAAGTCAGGAGAGAAAAGCTAGGATTGTTGCTAGAGAAAGACTAGAAAGTCAGCTGTGTCATTCATTGGGAGAAGAAAATTGCGTTGAGACTAGTTGGAGAAGAAAACTGTCTGACCACAAACTTAGAAAGTCAGGAACCTGCTCAAGCCATCATGGTGTCCACGCCCTCAAGCTATTCTGAACAGCAGGAAAACTGAATAAATCAAGCTGATACCCGGAAGGGACGAAGACTTGGGAAATCTGAGTGTAGTCCACAAACTGATGCTACCCAACCAAATAAAAGCAAACGACGCAGATGAGAGAGCAATGGTTTGGAATCAAGCACAATATAGTCGAGAATGACTTATGTTGGACGTAATGTTTTGCGTAAGAGCTTGCGTCAGGTTTCAATCGCTCCAGAGCAAAAGTCTGGCTGGATGGTTTGGCGACATAATAGAGAAAAACTAGAGTGACGTGCATACTCTAGCAGATTGCTAGGCCAGTACGGCTGTGAATTCGGACTCGTCATTGAGATTCCTTTCGAAGATTTGTAGTCTGGCGACTCTTTAGTTGCCAGCGCTCAAGCGCCACCTAGATTTTGAGTTTAGCGTCCAACCCGGGTCAGGAGTGTTTCAGATAAAACAAAAAATACTCCTATTTTTTTGTTTTATTCAGTGGATCTAGAGGCTGACTTGGTCTTCCATCTGAGCGATGCTTATGGCTTACCAACCAATGCAAAATCTCTGGTAGGATCCGTTACGGCGAGCTATTGCTAAAAACAGTTAACCTATGTACATGAGGGTGATGGAAGCTACTCATCACTACCATGGCTTGTCGAAAAAAATAGCGGGAGTAATGCCCTAGAAAAGATTCAAAGATCTGAACGAGAC